TCGAGCTCCAAAGTTCCCCTATAAGAACGTCCAGTTATGTGCGCAGCAGACGCATAATTCTGGAACTTCTCGTACTACTCGTCTTGCAGTTTCTTTGCAAAGAACAGCTCGAAGTGGTTCTGAAATGCTTATGTTTTATAAATACAATTCGCATCATTTCTCTGGTTGCATTTTGAAACTAAATAAATTAATTAATATTAAAACCAATTACAAAAATCTTCAGTCTAATTTTTAGACTATTCTCGTGTCCTTTATTCTTTATTCTTAAATTCAAAAGCTCGAATATAATTAAATTTAAGCAATCTATAAATTCTATTTAGTCATCCAATTATATTGTAAGTATTTCGTTTCATTTCTTCCCTGAGCTTTCACCTCAAAACAAATATATCCAAAAACTATTTTTTCCACAAGTTTTTCTCACAACGCGGTCCGATCCACCCTGCTCCACAAATAATCTGCCTATTGATACCTGTTTCGCATGTTTCTTCATATGTGCTTGTAAAATTCCTATGGCCGTTTTTTGGGCAATCGTCACCTATTCTGCGGGATAATCAATCGATTTAAATTCCCCGCATGCCCAGGACTCAGCTGCCGATGTGCCCGAACCAATTATCATCTTTGATTTGAAAGCCCAGCCATCGGATTAAATTTTTATAAAACCCATAAACACCAATTAGGTTGGCCCCAGCCCCCAGTCCGAGCGGCCGACAACTGACCCCAATAAATACGAGCAACCCAGAGTTCACATGGGTGGCCCCTTCAGGGCCTTAAGCCTGTTGATTTACGCAAAGGGGGATTGGAGGGGAATCGGAATGGCGCTGATGCTCGTACTCCAAAACCACACAACATTATAAGTATTTTCAAGTTCTTTCCCCAACTCGTAATGCTCTGTAGTCGTTTACATTTTTAAGCCCGACCTCGAGTATGTTCTGGCCCGGCACAAAACAAGACAAATGAGCTAATTTCGCAAGCAGAAGGGACAGCCGGATAATGCCGAGCCGCCCAGCGCCATGCCATAATATATTGCGCACAAATGTGATATTTATATGCATTTGTTATACAGACATAAACGCAAACATCCCGGATGGAGGTGCTCGCTGCCATCTACCATAAATCTATCGAGCCATTATTACTCATACGCACAGTATACATACGTATACTCTGTCTACCGTAATATATCAAGGCATTATCGTGGCTGCTTTTCTGCAAGGCTTTTTTTCTATGTGCTACATAGCTATGTACATAATCATATTTCCCGAGGCACAATAGTGAAACATTAAACAATTAAAAATAACATTAAATAAAATAAAGAACATTCTAAGACGGACGAAAAATAATAGATATAGAAAATATGTATTTAAATGACGGCTTTAATTGCCTTTTGCCTTCCACATGCAGACCACACTTGTCACCGCTTGAACCAAATTGTAAATGGAACTACACACCGAACCACTAGAATGGAGCCGAGTATCAAGAGCCAGGTCCCAGCACTCAACTCTCGTGTGTAGCGTGACTTGGAATTTATGAACTCCATTTCGCATGTACGCCATTGTAAAGATTAATTGCCACAGCTCCATATACGCTCCCGTTCTCTTTTCGATCCTGCTCCCCACGGCGCTTGTTGTTATCATTCAAACGCAGGCCCTGTTGGGAGCTTTTTTGTTGGCCAGTGACAGGGTAAAGGACCACCCGGCAAAAGCTGCGAAGAGCAATAGAGCTCAAGGAATGACATCGATGTGCAGTCGAGTTATGGGCTAGGCACACCACAGGCTTAAATTTAGCTGAAGGGAAAACTTTGATTCGAGGAAAACTGACCAATAAACAAAAATATTTTCTAGACTGAAAGTCAATAGTCTCGCATTGCCTACTTTTAGGAGCGTACCCATGATGAATTAATTTTCCCAGCTTGTTCACTTGTAGACTGCGTGAAGTGCGTTCCATGGTTGGTAATATTGTTTCTGGGTGCACTACAACCAACTAAGAGTACCATAGTATTCATCCAGGTCAGCTCGTCGTATGGAGGCAGCTTTTTCATTATACTCGTAAAGAGGTAGGTGGTCCCTTCCGTTCATTATTCTACTTAAACTTTGATGTGGTTTTTACTGTATTTTAATTGGCTTTTTATTGATTCGACTGTGAAATAAATGTACTTCCGGGGCCAATTGAGAGAGCTCCAAAGGGTTGTGAATACTCGAGTGCGGTCTGTGGCGGAAATTACGCCAACTTGTGTTGGTTTATGGAGGTCAATGAACGGGACTTGCAACAGGTAGAGCAAAACAATTACTCGGTCAAGAAGTTCTCCTTGATGGAATCGCCCAGCGTCACTCATAGAGATTAATGCGACATAGAACTATGGGATGCCGAAATTGACCATCATGGCAGATAAGATACGGTTTGAGCATTTTGGCTAATGTGTGTACCAGTATAAAGATCAGCAAAGATCCGGGAAAGCAACCAGTTATTTACCATGGCTCACTTTTAGAAGATACTTCTCTGTCTCTTCGGACTCTTCAGGTTCACTAAGCATTGTCACAGGTCAAGATCGGATGCGCACCTGGATTCACCCGGATGGAGGAGAAATGCTATTACGTGTCCCTATGGCTCTAATTCAATAAATCCTAATTTATTAGGAGAACTGGTCAATGCTCATCGAAAATGATTAATAATGTTCATAAAATTAACTAAATTTGGTCTGTGGTTCATGATATTTGGATCCATCGACAAAATCCTGCCCATGATTAGGACGAAGAAGAACTCACAAATTGGCAAAAGTCCCAGCATAAATGGGAATATTCCTTGCGCCACGAAGGAGTAGCTGGGGAAACAAGCTCATTAAAAAGAAATGTTTTTCGCCAGCCAACTTCAAAGTTGACTTTTGTGAAAACTCTCTCAGAATAGAGAGTGCAGAAAAGTTTCCTTAAGCAGGGAACGAAAGAGGTTCAGCGGAGGGAAAAGAATTGTCATGAGAGTACAATGGGGACACAGATCACAGTCAGGCTAACAGACACAAATCTCCCTCTTTTCGTGACAAAGGTCCCAGGGACTGCAGGACTCATTTAGAAAAATTACAATTACAATCAGAATGAAAGGCCACCAACACCTGTGTCAACAGACCCCACGTGACCAGGACCAGGCAGTGAGTCGAGTTGAGTCGAGTCTCGTCTCCCAGAGGCTAGCGTGCCTCAGAGCTCCACAATCAATCATGCATGCAGTCCGATTCTAATCCAAGTGCCAAATGAAGGCTCCACCTTCTAGCTGGCAGGCCCCAAGGGATGGGATGGTAAAGTCATTTTGTGTGGAGGCCAACAATTAATAAATTGAGCTTAATTAAATAAGTGCCAACATTTTGCAGGAGCTGGGACACAAAGGCCGCCCGTTGCCGTTGCCGCCACCTTTTGCACAGGCGAATGCAAATCATTTTAATGCGTTTAATTAAAAGGAGGAGGCAGCGCACAACTTTTCCTGCCGCCTCAAAAGAAAAGCGAAAAGTAGGAAATCATATTTACCCCCAGCCTCCTTGGGAACGGCTGCTAATGGAGTAAAGTGAGCACACACATCAGGCCCCATGCAAATTGAGTGCTAATTAAATTAAAAACGAAGTAAAAATAGTTTCACAAAAGTCAGCCATCCCTCCGTCTCGTCCCTCCCTTGTTTCTCTCCAAACATTCTCCTCTGCCTCTGCCTTGTTCTACTTCTTTTCGTGTAAATGAGCTCGAACTTGTTGTGCGAATGGTTAATGCGCGTGTGTTCAAACTCGTACCGAAGGAGCCCCAAGTCAGAGGCGGAGAAGAGGCTGGGCTGCAAGTACATGTACGAGCAAACACTGCACAAAAACTGTACTCATTTTATTCAATGGGAATTCCGTTTCTGCGGAAGAGCTGCGACTGACAAAATGTTAGACGAGGCCACGCCACTGCGGAGAAATCGAATCGGATTTTGAATGTGATTTGGATATACTCGTACCAGTAGTAGTTCCGTAAACTACTCTACCACACTGCAAACAAAAATGTAACTACAATAATGTACCCTGGCATACCATGAAACCATTTAATCGCATCATTTTCGTGCAGTGTGCTTTAAGACATCAAATCCGTAGCTGGGGAAAAACAATTGCAAATTAGATATGCGCATATGTTTGTGCAAATGGCAAACAGCTTAAAAACCCAAAACAGGAAAGAAAACGCAGAACAAGCCCCAAAAACAGTTGAAGAAGGCATCCGGCTCCAGTTGAAGATCAGGCTCCGCCGCAAGGGCAACCACGGAGCTGAAGTGATTGCAAACAGGATGAAAATGCAGCGAGTACAATGAAAGCCAAGCCAACAAACTGAAACGCTCGAGCCGGAGCGGTAGGGTCGCAAGGGGCAGCCGGAACGGAAACGGAAGTGCAAGGAGCTGCACAAGACACTGCACAGAACCAGCACCAGAAGCCTCCTCGGTCGCAGTCAAGGAGCAAGCCGGCTAATGCCGACTGGATCTGGAGCTGGTTGCCGGGTGACGTGTGGGGTGTGGGGTGTGGGGTGTGGCGGAGCACGAGTTGGAGCAGAATCAGCCGTGGCCTCAAGCGTGCTTGAGATGCAAAGTAAATGCAAAACCACAGCAAATTATGTTGAGAGGGGTCGGAAGCTGCTCGGAGCATCGACTGGGCAGGGCGGGGCTTGTCTCTTCCCTGACAGAGAAGGAGTGCCAGCCCTCCTTGGGTGCCGCTCAAGTGATTTTACCGAGTGGAGTGGAGCCTTGAGCAGGTGTCTGTTTAACCATTATGTTTAGTTGCAGGCAATTTGTTCTTTGCCGTGTTGCCAAGGCAAACTATTTTTCTGTGCTCCTCCAGGTTGCACTCTGCGGCTTCCGGCCCAACTACACTATACTTGTCTGTCCATCTGGACCCATCTGGGTGCGCACTAATATCCAAACTTTAAGGCGATTCAGTGAGACCTACAATAGAATAAAGAGTGGTTCGAAAGAACGATTCAATTTACTATACGATTGACAAAGCATTTTTGAGGTATGTACTATGTAGATTAGGTTTTGTATGTAACTTTATTGAAATATCAAATGCAAAAGGGATGCAGGTCACAGTGCTCGCAGCTCACAGCTCAGAGCTCGTCATGGAGCAACGAATAGCGGTGCTTGGATGGACCCAGCTCCTTGAAGGTGGACACAGGCATGGAGGGAGCATTAGCATTCTTAGAGTCTTTGGTCTTCTCTTCAATCATCTTAAGGTTCAGAGGGATTCGATTGGTGCTAAAATCCTGCATGAACTGCTTGAGTCGGCCCGGTATGTACATGTCGGAAAATTTGGTGAATGGGTACATAAATTTGAGGGAGTCGATGGCTATAAGGGGCAAGTCCTTTGCAGTCAGGCCCATGTGCTTCACGGAGTGCTCAAACTTCCAGCCATCCACGGTAACAAAGTTGAACTTGCTTCTCTGATCGGCGAGCTGCATTTCCACAATCGCCTTGAAGTCCTTAATGGAGGCCCCGTCCTCGGGCAAATGGAAGAGGAGCAGAAGCGGAAGCCTCTCTTCGATCAACTCCTCCACGTTCGCGAAGTTCACCTCCCGCACTAGAGGCACGCACTTCTCCAATATCCATGGCTCTAATTGCGAAGGGTCTGAGGGATTTCCTGCATAGGATTCATCATGTCCGTGGGTGCGGGCGATGTCCGGACGGAACACCAGAGCAGGCAGCTGTTCGGGGAATGGCCTGTGCTCCAGATCGACCAGATCGTCCCCCAAGCGCAAATAGAAGTCACAGTCGTTTTTGAAGCGATCCGCCATCATTTGGAAGATCGCATAGGCCGGATCCTCTGTGTCCAAAATGTAGGCGATGATGGCCCGCCTTTTGGGATCTATCACGACTAGATCGTCCGCATTTTTGAACTCGATAATCGCTGAGCGAAGCTGAGACTTTACAAATTTCACAAGGGCCTCGCTCGTCCTCAATCCTCGATACTCCCGACGTACCGGCTGGCCCCTGTAGAATAGTCGCAGTGTCGGGAACTTCTGTATATCATATAGATCAGCCAACGCCACCTCCTTGACGCAATCCACCCGTCCCAGCTGCACTTTGCCAGGCTCTGGAAACTCCAGCTTTAGCTGTGTCGCAGCATGCTCGAATATGGGCACCAAGCGCTTGCTGAAGTGGCACCAATCCGCATAGAAGTTGAGGAACACCACTTCGTTCGAGAGCATGGTGCTGTTGATGTTCGCCCCGCTGATCTGGGTCACATTCGAGATGTCACCGGATGTCACCGGTGTGGGTGTGTCCTCCACCTCTAGTGTTTGCCATAGGAGCTGCAAGAGCGTCAAGCCAGCAACGAATAATTTCATTTTCGTATTTCTATGTCAGTCGTTTTTATGTTAAGTGACAATCTGAGTTGCCAGCAAGAGCTGACAGAAAACAACAAATTTTAATAAACACAAAATACCAAAAGCCAAACGTAACTTTAAATTTATATTTTGTATACAGTTGACAGAGTACCTATTGTCATTACTTGTCTGACATGTTAGTAATGGTCCATACATGGCATTAGGCGCCATATCGCGATAGATAACAAATTAAACCCGATCCAACAAAAACTTGATTGATATTTGATCCTTAATACATAATTCCACATACATATATATTTATATGTTTATTCAAAAAAATAATATTGAAACTAAAATAAGTCTCTAAAACTCCTCAGAAAAATGCTGCGAAGATAGATAAACATCATGGGTAACTTTTTTTGGTCTGTGTACAGTGTACACACATACATATTAACATCATTCCAATGGGAATATTAGATCCCACGACTTTAATAAATTGTCAATATAAAACCAACATTGTTTTTAAGTGTTTCGTCAATAAAAATGAACGAGCCTCAAGAGACGGGAATGCGAATAGCAGAGGCATTTTTTACCACAGAATCTGTTACTCGTAGGTGCTGCCACCAGCCTGGCAGTCATTAAAGGGTTAAGTATCGTCATATCAAGAAGGCCAAATATCTAACGAAAACAGACAAACAGCAGGCTTCCGCCGGCCCACTCCGGTAATCGTTTGGACCGAGTGCAAAAGGGCTAAGCAAATATTTGCAGCGGCAACCTCGCAAATGAGCTTCAAGCCCCAAAGACAGAAGGCACACAGAAGCTGTGGACGGATAGATCCAGGGCAGGGCAGAGACCGATGTCGTTGTCGCCGGCATTTCAAAAGGACCTATGCTCTGACGGAAACGGAAACAACAACTTTCCCGCACTCCGGCGGGGATGAAAGGCGGACGCCTTGTCGTGGCTGCCGTTTAATGACATTTTTGCGCCCATTTGAGCTTCCGTTGCCTTCCTAGTCTGGTCTGTCTGAATGCGCCTCTCTGACTGACTGTCGATTTCTGCAATAATTTACTTAAGAAAATTCTGCCAATGCCTTCTCTTCGGCAATTGTTTACCAGCACCAGTCCGTCTGAAGACGATAAAATGTTGTGAAAATCCAGCGACAGTATCCAATAAATCTTTGTTTGCCTCTCAGCCTTCGGGCCCATCGATGCTTTATAAGCAGGGGTTTGTTTCTTGACCTTCACAGCTCTTGCCATCCCCATCGGCTTTTTGTTGCGCCGTGTTTGCTTGTATTTGCTTCCTTTTGTCTGCTGCTTGGCTTTTCCAAAGGGTTTAATTGTCCTCTTTGTCCGCCTTTTGTTGACATAGGTGGGACGGAACGAAGGACCTCCACCTCCCCATATGCTCTTCCAAATGCTCGTGCGCATTATGAATGGCTTCCGGATTCAATGTATTTTTTGGGGGCTTGGGTAAGGCAACAACAAGAGAGTGTTAATTAACTTGTGTAAATCCGTCGCTGGTAGACTTTTGGAAGGACTGAATGGAGGCCGTAAATTAAAGCTGATTTAGATGGAAATAGGATCGTGAGGGGTGAAAACTTTGAGAGCCGTTGAAAAGTGGATTATGCTTGATAAATTGCAAGAACATGGTTAAATCTTCCAATTATTACTAATTTAGTTATAAGTGCCAAAGATAACAATATACTCGTACATAGACGACTTCTAGTTTTTTATATCCGTTAATTTAGTACTAAACGGGAAGGAACGTTTACGTCGCTTCTAAAGACGCGACTCTACTTATACCCGTACTCAGTCAGCATATACTTTTTTAAGCTTATGATTTTTAGAATTTCAAAATTAAAAAAAAAAAATTTTACATTTTACATTTTTTTGCTACATCTGTTATCTACATCTACAATGTATATTCTACATCTAACATGTAGATGGGTTGCTCGCGCACTGAACGCGGCAGAGTGTGCGAGCGAGAAAGAGAATGAATAGCGTTTCTCCGGCTAGGGGAAGCGGGGAAAGCAACAGAAAAAGAATTTCTTCATTCTGGCTATAATTATGATCCGATCTGATTCAAATTCAGCAATCTGGTAGATATGGTCATTTTCTACGATACTGCGTTTTCAGTTTTATCGTATCTTTAAAAATGTGGCTGCCACAGATTTTCGTCTTTTGTGGGGGCGGAAGAGGGCGGGGCGAAATTTTGAAATACACTTGTAGCAGTGTGATATCCCATGAGTCTGGAAACCAAATTTGGTTACCCTAACTCTTATAGTCTCTGAGATCCAGGCGCTCAACAAGACGGACAAACGGACGGAAGGACAGACGGACAGAAGGACAGACGGACGGACAGACGGACATAGCTATATCGACTCGGCTATTGATGCTGATCAAGAATATATATACTTTATGGGGTCGGAAACGTTTCCTTCTCTGCGTTACACTCTTTTTTGAGTACGGGTATAAAAATTGGTCATGAATGTAGAGTGTATCTGGGAAAAGCTTAAGCTGTCATCATGCTTAATTGTATCTACTCTTATATTATAAATTATCCTTCAAACTTTCCTCCCTTCCAACAAACCATAAATTTTTGATATGGAAAGCCTTTCCTTACCTTCACTCGCTCTTCTTCGTTCATCCTTTCTGTTGCTGCCATTACGGTGGCTTTGCATAAACCATATCTGGATGGCCAATAAATCCACAAACTGTAAATCTCAATAATGCGAGGCGAACCATTAAAAGTCAATGGAAAGATGAGCGGAAAAAGAGCTTGTCAAAGCGTCCGCATAATTCAGCCGGGAAGCTTCACGCCATCTCCTCTGGCTCTTTAGACTCCCCCTCAGAGCACCGCTCCTACAACGATCCGAGACTGAGCTCATAATTCTCGCGCTTCCCGACATCAGATTGAATTTTCGCAATGAATGCAACTTTTTGCTGATGATAGATGCATTTGGGCGCCAGGCGATTTGTTGCGCATTCTTTGGCGCAGTGCGAATACGACAATTTATGCGACTTTGTAATGCAATTCATAAGCTGCTCCATGCAAGCTGCCCTGCACCGAAAGTCGCGATTTATTGTTGTGCCAAGTAGCCAATGTAAGCAGGGAAATTGTGCATTCGATATTGCTCGGGGCAAAAACTGCTTTATATGATAATGCAAGCTTCAATTTCCATAAAACGGAATTGGGTCTTTCGCGGCATACAAAGTAAAACAAGTAGCAAGAACACAAAAGCTGACTAAGAATAACGTAAATATTCCAAACGTAAATATGATGCTAGATTAAAGTTGTCTGATCAAAAATAGCAAATATTTTTAGGTAATTCAAACATAATCATGCCGTTCGCGCATCCTTTCAGCATCATTTCCACACCCCAGCTATCTTCGGGCTCCATTACATGACTGTTGCAAGTTTAATTATTGCCTCTGTCCTGCTCATACTTCAGTGTTGTTTGCTCAGTCATTAAGTCTGTCATTCTGTCAATGTTGACAGCGTCGTTGTCGCCGCCGTCATCGCTAAACGCCTCACTTGGCATTTCTGTGGAGCCTGGCATGGTTGGGCCATGGAAAGGGGTGTGGAAGAGCATTAAAACAATTTTGTTAATTAAGTAGGAAAAATTGTTAGTTTATTTACCAGTCAACTTTGCCAGTGCCAAACACCTCACATTCGCAATCTCTTCCTCCTTTTCTCTGCCCACTGGCTTTTTCCTGCCGTATCCTGGCAAGTTTTCGAGTTTGCTTAAAATTCTCAAGTGCACAATTAATTAGTAAAGTTGGGCCAAAGGAAAAGCCAAAGGAAAACAAAAGCGCAAGCAGTTTTCTACTCTCTCATTCTCTCTCTATTGCTGGAATTTATGGCGCATTTTGATTAGAGCCGTGGAAAAGCATCGCATCGCAGGCTCTGCGTCAGTTCTAAACTACGAGCAAAACTGTAAGTAGCCTAAGCTTTTTCTGATTATTTCCTCAAGGAATCCGTCGGGTGTATGCGGAAAATGGAAAATTGATTGGAACTTGCATAAGTAACGAAAGCGACTCAGTGGAATTATCTTCTTGATGGCATTTTTTGTTTGGCTGAGGCTCTTACGATTGTTCGCAAATAAAATTAAATTGTAATTGAATTTTACTATGCATTAAATTGGAATGGTAATGGTGGTAAGAGTAGTTTAAGTGAAGAAAATGCTTAATTTCAATAAAAAAAATACCTTAAAATTAATATTTAAATTGTATTTAAACAATTTTTCAAAATGTCTATCTTAGTAAAATTAATTTAAACATTTTGGTGCCAAACGGCAACAAATAGAACGTGAAATTGCAAAATCCGCAACAATGTTCAGCAACACCCGGTTTCATGGCATCGAGCTGTTGTCAGCATGACAACGCGAATATTCGATATAGTATCGCAGTATTATTTTTGTCATCTCTAGCTAACAATGGTTATGCTATCGATTTCATTTCATCTGTGTTGGCGCGAAGTTCAAATGTGTTCCTAATTTGTCTTTCTGTTCCAATAGTGGGCCGACTTGGGTGGAACATGGCTCCCTGTGGTTGTTGTAGCTCCATGTTGTTCTTGTACAAAGTACAATATTCAAACCGCCTAGACTGAATTTGAACATTGAATTCCAATGCATGGAATTGCTCGCATAAAATGAGAAAATTATCAAAAGAAAAGCAGCAGGTTCATGTAAATCTTGTTCCAAGTTCACTACATAGAACATGTTTATTTACCGTATAGTCATCATGCTAAAAAAAATATAATGCGTGCACAGTTTTGTTGACCTTTCTTTTTTAAGCCTTATTTATAAATAAAATAAAAGTATATTTTCAGTGCTGAGGGGTCTGACTATCTAGTAATACTGAAAAAAAATAAAAGAAGAAAATAAATTTTCAATTCTATGCAAAAGATAGCCCGGAAATTTAAAGATGTTTTGTTTGTCAGCCAAAAGAAAAGCAATTGGTGAAAATAATAAAAATCATCTTGTATTCGTTATAAAATATATACGGAATTAATAATAACTATCACTTGAAATCTAATCGAATAAATAAACAAATAAAGATTTCCAGAGTCCCGCATGCAGAGTGCCATTTGAGGAGGAGACGGCAGTCAGTGTTACATCGATATAGCCATGTCTGTCTGTCCGTCCGTCTTGATGAGCGCCTAGTTCTCAGAGACAATAAAAGTTAGTTCTAGACTAACGGATTTGTTGGTTGATTGTTAGTTTCAACAATTTTTTCAATTTTAATCGCACTTCTCATGAGAGATGGGAAAAACATTGAGAGAACAGAGGAACCACGACCGTAAGTTGTGTTCTTATGTTAATTTTTGCATATCCGCATATCCTCTTTTCATTCAATGACTCGAATTTAGGAATATTTGATATTTGTCATTTTTCCAACATCTGTCTCTCCTTTTTCACACCAAAACCACCCGTTATATCTTAATGAATCTGCGTGTTCGATTTATTCGTATCTTCAAAATTTTGGATGTCACATACTCTTTAAGTATCGGGTAAAGCGTTATTTATTATTATAGATATTCATGATCTTTAAGTAAAATTAAAAATCTATATTAACTACCCAATTCATCTGGCATACAATACTCTCTAGTAGTAAAGCATTACAACCGACTATATTTCAGCCGAAGTTACGCCTCATAACGCACAACAATTTTCACGAAAACTGAGATTAAAATTCACATGAGAAAATTAAACAACCATTGTTTATGGCTTATTAATTTTTAAAATTAATCAATTGGTGAAGAAAGATCCAGGAATGTTTTGTTTTCTAGGTTGATTTATTTATGTTGAAAATTTTATTAAAAAGTGCAGCAAATTTTCGAATACATTTTTCCAATTTTTCTAACGAATTGCCGCATTTTGGTTGGTGCCAAACCTGATTAGAGAGATGCAAATAATAATTACCTGGGGCTGAATGCTTGCTCTGAAGACAATGGCAGGTGGATAACATTGAGTAATATAAAAACCAGCTCAGTATCACTTCAATCCAGGAAAATGCTACGCAATCCCCACTTATTCAGTAACCATGGCCAGATGAATGAACCATCCAAAACAACAACCACAATTAAGGTGGAAATGTTAAAGCAGATTGGCTAAAATCTGCAACCATGACAGACAAAAGAAAACGCCAAGAAAAGGTGGGGGTAATAGTTGATAATGACGAATCTTTGATACGCTTTCTATGACTTAAGACCCTTGGGGTCAGTGCCAACTGACAGCACCTCCAACTTTATAAGAGGCGACGGCAGTCCATTCCCCTCACATTTTGCGATAATGCCCATCTTCAAAAAGAGTAGAGAATCCCAGGCATGAAAAAAACTAAAACAATTGCGGTGCTCTTGTATTTTCTTCTCACTGCACTTCAAAGTTTTCGTTTATATTTGCATTTGCATTTTCATTTTCCTTTCCATTGCAATGCTACGAGTGCAATATATCAAAACTTTAAATGTGTTGCTGCTGAATTTAGCCCCGTTTTGCGGTGTTATAGGCCAACGATCTGATTACTTTCAATCAGCTGCTCTAGCCTGAACCAAAATTGTTTGCTTACGTTTGCAAGTGCTTGGAAAAGTCCGTCTTTCGACAGCATTGATGTCATTTCGGTTTTCTGACCGCGCTCTTCCTAATTTTTACTTGTCTCTTGTATTTTCCCAGTCGTTGCCAGAATTAATTGTCACTGAATGGGCTGACAACTTTTTTTACGAGTACGTTTTATTTGCCTTTGTAAGTTTGTTGGCTGGGTTGTCTCTTAAATTATTGCAAAACGTGAGAGAGAATCGGTTGAAGACTCTATCTATCTCACCCTGGATCAACATCTTGGGTATAGGGCCGAAGTAGACCGGGGGCGGATACAACAGTTAAAATATAAGCAACGATATTCCCATAGATAGAAGAGACGGGTTTGAGATAAAATATTAACAATTAATTTCTGCTCCACCAAGATCAATGGCACAACTTTTACCAAAGCCTTAATTTGTTTTTATTTATTTATATGTTTTCGGTGATTTATTTTAGTTGGTTAAAAGCTCCGCCTGTAATTCTCCGCATTGTGGTTGGATGCTGCTGGAGCCTGCAGGTGTCCAAGTGTTGCAATCAACACCAATTAACGATACAGAGAATTGTGAAACCCATTCAAATCTGTCGTCGATAATAAAACACTACAAGAAATTCGTTGTAGAAAGTTCGAGCTTTTTTTGAAACAAACATGGATAAAAAAGTCAGTTAAACTGTATTTTACTTAAATCTAAAACCTATATCTCAAATTATGATCTATAATCTCTATTAAAGAATACAATCTTATCTGAATAGGTAACTGGTTTTTTCTGAAGAATATTTATACAACTGAACTAAATATGTACGACTATATATGCCCCCACTTGTTTTCCCTTGCCTGGGTTATCTGACGTTTCTCTGAGTGTAGCGAAGTCTGTGCAATGATATGGATATCGGGGTTTCGGCTACACGCAACAATAACATGCACATGAAACCGAAGAATGAAAACGAACAACAGCTAACTCCCCACAAACCAATGTCACCCAGACGTAGACCCGGCGCCGGGTCGTTCGTGAGTGCCATTTTCGGTAGTTTTTCATTCGTTTCTTGCGCTGACACAGCTTTTAAAAAGCTCTTAGTCTGTGGACTACTAACTACTGGCAGTCGTACCCAAACATCTAGTGGCGCATTCAATTAGAAGCCTCCCATTTAACCCAGTGTGTCTCTCCTTCCTACGTGATTTAAATGCGAACTTCGTGAGGCTCAAGTAATGGCCAGCCTTATCACGGTGCTGTTGTCTTTACTTTCCCTGAATCCACTCTTAGACGCATGTAAGAGGATGATCGCGCCTCCGATAAGGAGTGGGAGTGTGATTTGTTTGCATAAATACCTACGCGTGTTTCTCCGCGGTTTCTTTTTATAGCCGAATATCATATTGAGGCGTTGCAGTTCTTCTTACGTAATGGAAACTTCGATTTGAATCCATTCAACTGTCATTTATGGCTGTGGGAAACGTGTCCCAAGCGTTACATAGGATTCCAACTGTTTACCAGGTGAGTTCGCGAAAGACTTAAAAGTCAGGTGTAAAATTCAAAGTATTCCATAAATGGATGGTAGCTTAAAAATTGGGAATTTCTATGAACTACCAACAAAATTGTGTAATTTTGTAAAATATTAAGTGAAGAAACAAAAGTTTGACTAAAATCTAATAGAATAACTTTTTAGGTAGAATATTAAAATATCAATTTCGGTAAGAAAACTCCAAAGCAACACAAACGAAGGGCATTCAATGTGTTGTTCTACAATCTAGATGTTCGCAGAGATAAATAACTTGAACACCATAAACAACACCATTTTGGTGTCAGTGAGAAGTATGTTTAATTCGCCAAGAAGGAAGAGATCTCACAAATAAAAGGAAAAATTGCAATCCAATCCGAATGTAATCGTTTAAAATAAATTGTGTGTACGAAAATCGATCTACATGGCCATTTTAGAAATCTATGAATGTCATTGTCTAGATACGTAGATACACAGATAAACTTATTTCCCGTTGTCAGATATCTACACAAATGCAATAAGTATACCCCATACTCTAAATATTTAAACATATGTACATAAATTATCTTCATATGCTACGAATATTTTTTCGCGTACATATCAGTGCATTTTCGATCGGATAAGAAGCATTCACTACTTTCGGAATCTTATAAATACAATGCCTTGTTGCCTAACATTGACCGCTATAAGCGAAAGCACTTTCCAATCTTTCACTTTTCTGTGCTCATTTAAGGTATCATGTGTGCTTTGGCTTTGCCCATCAGGTCGATGCAGAAGCTAAAAGCAATTAATTTATGTCGAGCAAGTATGCAAAAAGATTTTGGATAGATAACATTTTGCAACCGACACAAAATGAGCTCACATTTAGAAATAATGTCAAGCCGAATTAGGAGAGTTCGCATGCCATGCATGTGGTACGAGTATGTTATGTAAATGAAACAAGGGCGAATTACGATCCGCAGGCACCATGAAGGAGGCAATGGCATTGAGTCGGAAAGGTAAATCTAACCATCAATTTCCAGATGAAAACTCATAATCAAAGTCAGTGCAGCGTTGCGTGTGCCATGGATTTTCATTTCTTAGACGTCGCCATGCAGACACCACCCAGCCACAACAAGATCCGAAGTCGTTCACGTTTCCAGCCATGTTAGAGGCGGTCGAGGCAAAGTCAAGGCAACCAGCGGCAGAGCAGGCGGCCCCTTTGGCCAGTTTTTGCCGTTGCGCTGCCGTTGCCTCAGACTGCATTTTCCCTGGTCGCGTTTTTCACGCTGCGCATTCGCATTCGCAGCGCGGTGCGCGAATGTGCAAGACGTTGTCCGATGTGGCCGCGAAACAATCAAAATTATATAGTTCAATGTAAAGGACTAAGATGAAATCAAACGAAGAGAGAAAATGGATATCGACGAAAAAAATATGTGATCAGAGTGCAAATTACCGATGAGTGGACAAGTTATACGCAAAATGTCGAGTGGAATCTGGTTTATAAAAAAAAAATCTTTGAAAGAAGAAGACACTAAAGAGATTTATTAGTAAAGTGAAGGCTTTAGCAACAAATATTAACACTAATAACTTATACAAAATAATTGAAAATTACAACAACAACAAAAAACGTAAAATGTACATATTAATATTTCATACGCTTAAGCAATAAACTTTTACGAACAAAGTGAAAGCAAAATTGCAAACATATAAAATTAAATATTTATATCCCGGACAACGGATCTGAATACAATTTCATTTAAAAAAAACTCCAGTTAAAAATGAAATTTCTTGTCGTGCTTTGCCTTTTCACACTAATTGCCAAAGGTACTACCTACTGATATAGAAGTGCGAAAATTAAAAAAAAATAATTTATTTAATCAACAATACATAAACCTGCACGAACATTTTTCAGATGTCCAATCATTGCTGATAAACCAAATGGACTGGAAGAACCTCCTCAGCAGCGGTGCCCTGGACCTGAATGTCTTGCGCTGCTTCCTGCTCGACAAGAACTTCTGTCCCAGCCCCCATATCGAGTATCGACTGTTTTCGCCGTAAGTTTAGGGTGGGACAGTTCTTATTGAGGATGTGCCACAACAATACGGGAGAAAGCTGAGTCAGGTGTTAGGCAACTTGCTTTGCTCACTCGGTTAGTGTGTCACCGCCCAAAATACAGACTTGTGTGACAAGAAGGATATGGCTGGCGAATACCAAAAAATAAGAGTGCAATTAATGGGTGAGCAACTTGTTTCGCAAACCGGACGCTGACCCACTAAGGAAAGATGCTCCCAGCTGTACAAGGCCTGAATCAACCGCACTGACCGCCAAACGTGGTCGACGGTGGAGTCAATTGGTGTTAATAATTGACAAATAAATTGTTTAACAAACGACGGTCGAAGTCGTTCAACGTGTCTGGGCCAAGCCAAGCTTCAAGCCTCCGCCAAAGATCACTGCCAGACTACTCCCGATCACCAGATCCACCACCAGTCCAAAGATGCGCGCCTGGTATCACCATATTCGGATAGCAGTGGCTGCATTGTTGCGGTAACATGAAATTCTTGCGAAGATTACACGATGAGGACCGTTTAAGGAGTTCATGATTGATGGTTTTGCAACACTGAAGAGTTACCGGAATGAAATATTCATTCTTGGAAATTAAAGCTCGAAGCTTATCCACAATGGTCTTCTCGCCTACAAACGGGAATAAAAGGGATACAAGTTTAAGTCGTGAACCAGAACGCAGTGAAGGCAGTCAATTCCAACCCACACCGCCTGAGGCTTTTGGATTGTGCAGCTGTGAGCTCCTTATCCCGTACATCATCGAGAACCATAAGATCGACCCATAAGATCGGTTCCGACAGTTGTGACTTTCCAATTTGGTTTATCGCTTCAAAGAATTGGCTTAAGTGTGATAAACACTTGTTATAAAAACTATGCCTTGCTGTTATGGTTAATTAAAGAAATATGTAAAAGTTTCAGGTATTATAGGAATGGTTGATTCCTAACTCTAGATCTTAGGGAACATATACTTTCATATGAATCATCTGTTGATCATCTTTTGTGGTGATCATGAAACTTTGTCAATATATGTACATATCTGATCGAAATTTTGCGGAAAGTCCGCTTTTATTATTGATTTAATATTATTGCAATAAATATTGCAATTTTATAAGAATAAGATTAAGATGCATTTTAAGATGTCTTGACTGTAAAGTAATTATTTCCTGACATGCTTTGCAATTTTGCTACAATATCATAGTCGCTGAAGTGTGAACATTTGCTTACTCTGCAGAGTATGTACATAAATAACGATTCGCTTCCGTCTCTCTTCCAGCAATGGGCCACGACGAGGAGTGGCTTTAAATGTAAAAACCCCAACGACTCTCTACAAGGGTGGCTTCGAAAAGCATCGGGAAACGGTCTTCATAGTCCACGGCTTCAACGGCACAGCCATCGACATTCACCTGCAGTTCCTGAAGGATGGTTAGTGACTTGCCCGTGCCCGTGCCCGAGCTCGTGGCCATGGGCAACAAGATGTAATGTTGATTTTTCTACTTGTCATTATACAGCTTATTTATCGCGCGACTTCAACGTGATTACCGTGGACTGGCGGCCCTTGACGCGATATCCCTGTTACCTGCATTCTCTGATAAACACCAGACTCACGGCCCAGTGCACAGCCCAGATCTATGCATTTCTCACCCATTATGGCGCCATCAGGGAAAAAATCACCTGCGTGGGCCATTCTTTGGGGGCCCACATCTGTGGCATGATCAGCAACCACTTGACCAAGAAACAATATCGCATAATCGGTCTGGATCCGGCTCGTCCTCTAATCGAGCGAAAGAAGAGCAACACATTTCGACTATCCCGCGACGATGCGAGTGTCATACAAGTTCTCCACACAAACGCTGGATACCTTGGCCAGGAGGACAACACGGGGCACCTCAATTACTGCGTAAATGGTGGACGTATTCAACCGTACTGCAAGGGAAATCCCATTAGTAAGAAATCTCAATATGTTAGTCCAATCTTCTCTTATTCGTACCAACTTCCTTCTATGTCACAGGACGATACCGCTGTTCGCATTTCCTGAGCATTTGCTACCTGGCCACGGCCACTTACAAGCATAGCAGGTTTATGGGCGTTCCCTGCCCCAATGGGTGTCTGAATCTCAGCGGGCCCAAGCGTTTGCCAGTCAGCGGTAAAGTAAATCCGTTCGAGTTTGTGTCACTTCTGCGGGAGTACCATATAGGCAACGATGCCCCGGACGAGTAAGTGGAGATCTAACTTCTAAATAACGTTTCTTCATTTTCAAATATATATTAAAAACACATGCTTTCAGCGCCAGCGGCTGCATTTGCATAGATGTGCCTTATGCCAAGCACTGCCCCTTCACGGATACGTAGGAGCTGGTCACTAAGTAGGTTTAAACTATAAAATATAGCTGCCGGCAATAAATTGAAGTACAAATATTTTATTGGCGCCTTGATATTAAAAACGAGAAGGAACGTGTGAGTCGCTTCTGTGGACGCGACTCTTCAGTACTCAGTCAGTATGTCAATATGTGAGCTTATAATTTATGTAGAATTTTAAAATATTTTAAATTTTACATTTTTTGCTACATCTGCTTTTACATCTACAATGTCGATTCCACATATAAAATGTAGCTTAGGGGCGCTCGCGCACTGAACGAGGCAGAGTGTGCGAGCGAGAGACAGAGTGAGTAGAGGTCTCGTGCTGTAGGAGGTGGGGGAAGCAACTGAAAATTTATTTCTTCATTCTGGCTATAATAACGATCCGATCCGATCTGATTCAGATTCGGATTCGGCAATCTAGTAAATATGGTCAATCAGCAGAGATATTTGTAGGGGATTGCGGAATCGTATTCGAAAGCAGCACGATTCAAGTCTAAATTTACATTTTGTCGAATTTGTGGTAATTGTGCAGCGCGAGCCTTTGCGATATGACCACGTCTCCTTTTATTTTCCTCCGCACTTTCCTCTTGAGTTAGATTATAACGGAAATTCCGACTACTTATTGCATTACGCTTACGTCGTACCAGGTTTAATCGCCGAATAGCAGGCATTAGTCAAGCAAATAATTGAGATTATTATCTTGAGTTTAGAACTGATTTCCGACTATGACAATTGACTCTTCGCATACTAAAAAGGTTAAAATAAATACATTTTTTCCCGATCGCGATGATTATTCAGAATTATATTCTGGTTGTGAAAAAAGCAAACAAAAAACAATGGTTTTTTTATATTTTATAATCAGATAGAACCAAATAATCAACTGTTAATGATTTAAGACTACTTTGACTTTTTAAATGTACGTTTTGTAAAATATGAAGAGTTTTTTGTTGGTCATGTTCATTATGTTTTCGCAAAACAATAATGTATAACATGGGGTATGCAGGGTACTATACTATACCCCATACATGCTCATAAAATTTTAGATCATTTGTCCATTTCTCGATTTCTGAGTGAATGCAAAGAATGAATAAAGTTGCACGTTGCACCTTGAGGATATTCAAGGAAAATTCTTCCAATGTGATATACACTGCCGGTCACTGGAATAAGAACACTTTTTTTTTTACTTTTTGATTTTGAAAGGTGGTTCTGCTTTTGTTTGAACCTTAATATGTAAATAATCCAATAAAAACGACTTCTGAAAACTTGCCAATATTGTAAAAAATGTATGTATCTATCGGATAAAATTATTTGTTTAGGGTTGAGAGGGCCAATTAGCTAGTAATATTCAACGGAATATTAAAATTGATGAATATGATTTTCCTCGGTATGTTTACGGTATATAATGAAAATGACGTTTCTTCCAGTCACACTCGACAAAACAAATCAAGTGAAATATTTATTTTTCCATATTAATATACTTTTGAAAATGAGCGCCATGAAGAGAGCGTTTTCGTGGTGACTTTCGGGTGTGAGAACAGACTACGGGACGGTGGAATGAAGATTCATTGTTGCGATACATTTGATTTGTATGGGAAAATGGTTTATGGCTGTGTTGTTTTCAGGGTCATTAATGGCTCGTCGTTTTGGTAACGAATTTGGCTCCGGGTTCCAATATAGGATCGAACGGGTAAATGTTTTATCACAAACATGTGCATTATGGTCAGTCAATCTGGTATTATTAATGTTTCAATAGGTTGGACAACATTTAACATCATAACAGAAATAAGGTTACAAAGTACATACGCATGGTTGGTTGCCGCAACACTGCGTCCATTTGTCAACATTTCGTTTTTGCTTTGGCCGCTTTTGTTTGAACCACATTTCAAATTGACCGCCAAACTCAATTTAGCGCACCAAAAATACTGACATTTTTCGCTCTCAATTCAGAGTTTGAAAGCGTTTTCAAAATTTGCTCTCATTCGTGGAGAGTGCTCTCTTTTCAGTGGAGAATAGAGTGTTTTTGTGGAGACTTTCCCCATTTTCGTGGTGTGGCAGCATGCTGCTATTCCCTACAAAATCAAATGCTTACGGGAACGCGTATGGAATAAAGATTCATTGTTGCGTCATTCCATACGCTTCCCGTAAGATATTTGATTTGTATGGGAAAAAATTTCAGCAGCATGGGGAAATGGAGTAGCAGCAATGCTGTGCAACTTTGGCACGGGGGATGAGCAACAATCTGCATACTGTGGCGGAAAATGGATATTATGGACTTGAGATATTGTTTGTAATTTCAGGCTCCAATTAATGCAGAAACTACTCAGTGTCCTATTAAAAAGACATCAACGAAATTTTGTAGCTCATGGGTACCAGTAATAGGTATCAGAACCGGGATAAATGTATATATAAAACACAAAACATATGCATAGATAGGTAAAAAATAACTCAATCTTACGAAAATGCAATATTAATGTTTCAAAGCAGCCTGAAACAACAAATTTAACATCAATTAAAGGAAATAAGGTATACCAAAGCCCATACGCATAGAAGAAACTTGGTTGACCAGCAACAATGACGTTACATTTAGTCAAAATTTAAGTTTTATGCTTTGGCCGTTTTTGTTTGAACCTTAATATGTAAACAATCCAATGAAAAAGAGTTCTAAAAACTAGCCAATCCTGAACAAAAGGGAAAAAAAAAAAATTGACTTTCATATCACAAAATATCACGGTATCGGGCCCCGCCGAAACAACGAACGGCCCGGGCCTGGCAACGCCACAAAACTATTTGTTTTAGCTTGTTTTAGCTGGGACCTTAATAAGCTGGTATCGGTAAAATTTTTGTTTGGGCTCCCAGCTAGCTGGTAATATTAAACGGAATATCAATATCAAGGAATATCAATGCATCCGTCAGTATATTTTTGGTATATTTTACTATTGACAATGTATATTTCAGTATATTTTGGTATATTTTCGAGGGTCAGGCGGTATATTTTCCAGATAAGTCGCCAGTCACCCTAAAATAAAAATTAAAAAAACTATATAAATACTTAGAAAAGTTAAGAAATAATAGAAAAAGCAATCATGGGATGTGATGGCGGAACTATACCCAAACGCGACGAGCTGGTCCGCGTCAAACAAAAGCCAGAACAGGTAAACATCATGGAATAATAAATAAAAGAATCAACAGTAAACGCATTTAATATTTTGCAGAAAGACAAAGACGCAGAGCGAGAGTTTCGCTGGCTGCACTGCACCCTGACGCAGCAGCGTCTGCAGGAGCCCATAGCCATGTGCGGAATGGGCAGATTGTACTCAAAACAGAGCCTCATCGAGCGGCTGCTGGAAAAGGAGAAAATGCCCGAGATGTCAGTGCATGTGAAGAGCCTCAAGGACATTAAAACTTTACAATTGACCCCCAATCCCGCCTTCACAGAAGAGGATAAGGCCGAGGGACTACTAGACACTCGTCATGCTCCGTATATCTGCAAGCTGATTGGGCTGGAGATGTCAGGAAAGTTTCGATTCGTTGCACTTTGGAGCTGTGGATGTGTAGTGTCCGAGAGGGCCCTAAAACAGATTAAAGGGAACTCGGCCAGCACTTGCCCCTTGTGCCAGACTCCCTACAGTGTCGAGGACATGGTCGTTCTGAACGGCAATGAAGAGGACGTGGAGCTGATGAAGGTCAAAATGGAAATGCGTGCAGCCAAAAGGAAGTCGTCGAAAAAAGAGAAAAAGGAGGCAAAGAAGGTGGAGATCAAAACAGAGACCGACGAGCCTTGTGTATCCACAACAGAGGCAGCGAAGCCCTCAACCAGCTCAAAAGTCAAGGGAGTCGCCAATCACAAGCGCCTGGGTGCCGTGAACGCCATGCAGGACCCCGAACTCAAGCGATTGAAAAACGACTTCAGCGTGGCCAAGGACCCCAAGGCCAGCGATGTCTACAAATCCCTCTTTACCTCTCACAAAACAGAGAAGGAGCAAGAGCGTGCCCACTGGATCACCTACAATCCATTCTACAATTAGTTCAATAAAATACATATTTCTAAGTTTACTGTTCGTTAACAATCACATTTGGAGACTACTCCAAATCCATTTGATAGTATAAAACTAAACACGAAACGACTCCAACAATGTATCGCTCTGCTTATCAGAAAGGTTTTCTCACAGTTCTCTACAGTGTGGGCAGTTCACCCCTGGAGAAGTGGTCTTCCTATGTGAGTATGACCTTTAAGAGAGCTTCCTTATGTCGCCATAACAACCTACGTCCCCGGCTAGACCAAAAATGGTTACATCAAGCGAATCTACGATGAGGATATCAAGTCTCTGGTACTGGAGATAATGGGTTCCAATGTGTCGACCACATTCATCCACTGCCCCAGTGAGTGCAAGGAACAGCTCGGCATCAAGCTGCCGTTTTTGGTGCTTCTGATTAAGAATATGCATAAATATTTTTGCTTCGAAGTTAAGGTTCGTTTTTGGTTAGTTGATTAAACACTATAGCTATACGGCATTCTCATGCAGATTCAAGATGATCAGCGTTTCATGCGCCGCTTTCGGGTATCAAACTTCCAGAGCAAGACTTCTGTGAAGCCGTTCTGCACCGCCATGCCAATGGGCATGTCGCCTGGCTGGAACCAGATTCAATTTAATCTCGCTGATTTCACACGACGCGCCTATGGCTCCAACTATCTGGAGACCGTATCGCTACAGATACATGCCAATGTGCGCATCCGCCGCGTCTACTTTGCTGACAAGCTCTACACGGAGGCAGAGCTCCCCAATGATTACCGCTTGATGGGCAAGCCCAAGGATTTGAAGAAGCCGGAGAAGCAGTTTAAGGTTCCCGCAACCGCTCGTCCTCCATCGCCTCTGAATACGGCACGTGGTGAAGGACCTGTGAAGGCATCCCAGCCCGAGGCGCCTGTTCAGGAATCGGAGCCTGAGGCTGCTCCGGAGTTAAAGAAGGCACCGTCGCCTTCCATCTCTGTGGGCGTGGCTTCGGCTGCTCCGGAGCCCGCGGCCGAGGAGCCTCCTACACAGACCGAAGCCACAGAAGAGGCCTACTACTAGCATTATATTTAAGTTTATGTGTTCATTGTTAATTTAGTTAAGCAGCAGGGCAGGGGGCAGGTCACGATCTATAAAATTATCAGTCGTAGATACATAAAATGGTTTATTTTAACCAAACTCTACTCTACAATTAAACAAAATATTTTTTGTTATATTAGGAATTTTCTAAGACATCTAAATTGGGAAAAAGTCCTCATTCACTTTGATCTGAGGCGGCAACGATGTTCAGCATGTCGGCATCGATGTTTTTCAGGGCATTGTGGTACTCTGTGATCTCTAGCGCCTCCCATTCCGCTTTGAAGGCTGCCTTGGGGTCCTGCGGCATGGTCATGGCAGCGCCTGTCATTGCATCGGCCTGTGCCTGAGTCTGGTCGGCGTGGTTGTTCTCGCCCAGGACTAGCGTGTAGATGGAGCGCAGACCGAATACGTTGAGGAAGTACCAGGAGGCGGATGAAACCCAGGCAGCATCCAGAGAAGCTAGCTCGACTCCACGTTGTAACATTGGCTTGAAACGCAAGGTTAGCGGAAACGGCACCTTGGTGGTCACGAAACCGGAGAACATCCAGTTAATCCATCCTCCGATGACGACCATCGGCAATACATTGATGAAGTTCCCTTTGACCATGTCAGTCAGCATGGCAGATGAGTTCTGGGCCACAGGTGCGCGCTTCTGGGTCTTGAAGTAGCCTGTTTCCTCGCTGTTAAAGTAGTTTTTCCTCATGGAGAAGGACTGGGCGCTCAAGTATTTGCCATTTTCCCGCAGTAGGCGAGCGCGAATCATGGCTTGACTGTGTACGAACAGAACGCATTTATGTTCAATTTCCTTACGCTGCCCTTTGCTCGCGACTCACCTGTCCTGAATTTGGGTTATTTCGGCCTTCTTTTGGGTTGATATCAGAATAGAGACATAGTGCCGCACTATGCCCACCAAAAAGGTGATCAGCACTATGGGCAAGAAAACCCACACGCGAATGTCCGGGTCAATGAGCAACTCCGTCATTATATTAATTGATTAATTTATTTCATTAATTTTTTTCGGTCTAATTTTCAGCTATGGTTGCAGTGTGACCGCAGATTCATTGATAAAATATACCCGCCTGACCTTTAGAAATAGACCGAGAAATATTTTCATTTTCAAAACATACCGTAAAAATACCAATGAAAAAAAAAACCGGAGAAAAACGTAACCTTATTAAATATACGATTATATACAAAAAATGGCTTAAATATTTCATTAAACAGACCGGTACTCAGTTGCGAAAAAGGCCATTCGATACATACTAGAAAACCAAGCGATGGTATTTTCCCTCTCGAGCGGAACATAGAAATATTCTATCTTTCGTCGTCCAAAAGACTCGCATACACACACACGCACATTTTAAAAATTGAATACAACAGGTCCAAGCCAGCTACAAAAGTGCAGTAACGAAGACAAATTAAATTTAATTAAGGCACTGGAATGAAAAGAGATTATATAGACATTATTATTTATTAATTTTATACCGGGTAATCATTTTAATTATTCAAAAGGATATAAAAACCATGTTGATTTATCCAATATTGCAGTGTACATTATCGTCCTCAGCTTTTCATTTCAGCTTGCTTTAATACAAAATTTGATGCAAACAGATTTCTGTATGTAAACAAACACAAAACAGTGTAACCGTAGAGCATGCAGTTTGACCACTTCGGTCACACTGGGCACCGAGCGGAATATATATCACATTTCGCCGACAAACTAATTTAGCTGATATGAGTACTGGGTTTATAAAAAGAGCTTGATAACTCCGCAATCTATACATTTTTAGTCGTTTTTACTGATTTATTCTCTATATAAGTCGATAGATACCATAAAGTGATTTCGATAGGAAATCGTACATTAGTATGACCCTATTGGGGAAGTATATTTTGACCAATGCGACCATTGTATCAGGCGACGCTAGCTAAATAATTTTAATTGAAACTAAGGATCGATAAAGTTATGGACGCCAAATCGGAGGCACCCATATCCCCAGCCCCTACGCCGAACGCTACCCCAGTGACGGCAGAGGCAGCCAAGGAGCAAAACTGCACGAACAATTCCAAAGGTAACCCGGTTACCGCGGCGGGAACAGGAGCGCCACCAGCGCAGGCAACAGGATCAGCCCAGCAGCCAACCATCAAGAAGCCGAGCCCCAGCTCGTTACCCACACGCCAGTATCTGGACCAGACGGTGGCTCCCGTGCTACTCCACGGACTACAGGCACTCGCGCGGGAACGTCCCACAGACCCCATCCAATTTCTGGCCTCGTACTTGCTGAAGCACAGCAACGGATGTGAGGATAATGCGCCGGCTGCCGAAGGAAACTCCTAGACATGCAAAGCACGTGTACTTACTTCTCTCAATACCCTTCCCGCTACATTCTTAAGCCAACAAAAATCCATAAATAAACTTTTAAAATTAGATATATATCGCGATCAATTGAAATACACATTTCTAGGCTGTGATGGGGTAACCCCAGGGATCCTGCTTTCGAATTGAGCAGCTCCAGGGAAGTGTCGGCAATCTTGGAGAGAAGCTCGGCCATTTTGTGCTTGGTGTAGACCTTGTACAGCTGCCGATGCTCGCTAGATATTTCATCCGCCAGGCGCACACAGCCAACAAGGTCTCCGGACTTGGACATAACCTCGTGAAGAAGTAGTGCGATCTCGGGCAGACAAAGGGAGCGCAGCTTTTCCATCTGCAACAGTCTATTCTCCCAATTGAGCTGTGCAGCATTTTCCGGCTCCTTGGAGATAAAGGGGTCAACCAGCCAGCCTTTCTCCGGGAACATCAAAATGTTGTACAAGGCTTCCGTTGTCTCTGGAAAATTGGGAGATAAATCACACAATGATTGAATTGGCTTTAAATTTATTTGTATGCTTACGCTTTGCCTGCTCCTTGACCTTCTGCTCCCATCTTTCCAGCTCAATGCGATAGGTCTGCTCCTTTCGCTCGCTCACCAGGCGATTCGTGAAGTTGTCCTGGCTGGTAATTGCAACGAGCGCAGCCGGCTTTTGCGGAGGATTCTGGTGCCGGCGATTCCACTCAACAAAGCTGTCGACGCCAGCAAGGTATACCTTGTAGCAGAGATATTCCTTCAAGCTGCACTCCTCGCGAGACGGTAGATTTTCCAAGGAACCGAAGGTGGCTATCAGACGGGTGACCACGTCGCCGGGCACCATCAGGAATGTTTTGCGCATGCACTCGATCTTGTTAGATGCCAGATAAATACGCATCATGGCACATGCTTGCCAGAGAAGTTCGCTCCGCTGCTCCGGCAGAAAGATGAGCCACTCCAGAGCCGCGATCTTAAACTGGTCCGGAGCTGATATTTCTCCTGCATGGGGTTCCCCGAGATCCCCCAGTGGATGCTGAGTGTTTCGTATAGTTTCCACTGTAAGGCGGGTGATCTGCTCCACGTCCAATCCTGCTTGCAGGGCAGCGTCGATGGCCAGCTCTCGCGCACGTTCCTGCTCAACTGTCTCGAGGAATTGGGAGTAAAGTTTCACTTGAAGGCGGTTGGATAAGGCCGCAGCATAGTAGGCTATAAGCTGGGCGTCTCCACGTGCCAGCAGCGCCTCCACATAGGAGGCGATAATTTTTTCAGCCTGCTTTTCGTTTTCGACACGTCCAATCTGCCGCAGGAACAGAACAATGTGGGCCATAAAGCGGAGCTGGTGAGAAGACAGCTTGATGGCGTCCGTCTCTAGCCAGCGTACCATGTGCTGGATCAGCTCGCCACAAGTGTCCAGGATAAGATGCTTCTGTATGATGCCCAGCTGGCCCTTGGCAAAGTCTTTCACAGACACATCTTTGGCTACATTCAGTTCGTCGAAAATTTGCTCCAATGTCATTTTTCCGTTCCAATAGTCCTCGGGCATGTCCTGATAACGCTTTGTGCAGCATTCCCGAATCTCGGATTCCACACGAATGTCGATTTGGACCTTGATGTGGGCCCAGAGCAGATCATGCCAATTGTTGTGCAGCAGCGCCTTTAAAGAACTCAAGTGTCCCGCAAAGACGCCAGCTGTGGCGCGTGTGAACTCGTCGTAGCGCTTTGAGTCGGCCACACGCCAGGCACACCTTTTCCACACATCGCGACGAGGGTTTCCCTCAATGGGCAATTTCTCGTTGACCAGGGATCCACTAAGCTCAAAGTTCGGATCCTCATGGAGGCGCCACCCTTCTAGTATGGCAGCTTTCCAGGCCTGGCCGTAGTGCTTGCACAACTTAAGGGCATCATCGATACGTCCTCTCCTGATGGCCCCGAAAATCGCTCGGCCCAGCCTCATGTTGTCTTCTTCGTCCAGAGCGTGCAGAGAGAGCTTCTCCCTCACAGGAGCATCGGGATCCAAGCTCTTGACTATTTCATGCTTCTTCCCAAACGCAGCTCCCTGCAGATTCTCCAACTGGAAGAGCGTGTTCTCCCAGGCCATCATCCGGTCGTGGCAGTGAAGCAAATTCTCTGGATCCTTTTGGTCGTAGCAGGCCTCCAGCCAGTCGACAACCAGCTGGTACTCCCTCAGGGTGGAATTGATGGCATAGAGCTGAGAGATTACCATTTTCTCACTGCCGCCAAGAACGGGACCTTCCTGCATTTCATCGTCGGCTTGGGTGTCCGTCTGGAGCAATATTCGATCATAGTAGATGCCAATGGAGCAAGCGCCAAGTGTTGATCTCCTGCTTTAGCCAACTAATGCTGGCCGTTCTGTGCGCGGCGCCCTGTTCTCCGCCCATGCCCCGTTCTATTTCCAGCTGCAGTTGCTCCACGACTCCCTTGCACGCTAAAGACAAGCTCAGCAGAACCTCGAAGGTCTCCGTCTCGTTGGTGTGCGCCTGCAGGATGTCGAAGAATTGGGCGAACAGGACATCCATCCGGCTTCTGCCCCGGTTCGAGTCATCTGGGTCCATTAGTGTTTCAGTCAATGCGGTCACATTGTTCTCAGGACGTAGCGGGCGGGTTAGAGTCTGTTGTAAGCTAGAGCTATTCGCACTCGTTCGCAGCAATCCACTGCGGCTGATTCGGAACAGGCTGTCGGCCATGGTCGATTGTAAATTTATTTGTTATTTATTGTTTATTTTTTATTGTACAAAAATACACGCTGATAAAATCCGCGGGACTTATCGATAAGATATACCGTCGACCCTCAAAAATTAGACCGGAATCTACCTTCTCATTTTCATAATATACCGAGGAAAATCATATTCCTCAATTTAGATATTCGTTTTAATATTGCAAGCTAGTTAGGACTCTCAGCAATTAAAATATAATTTTATCAGATAAATGAATCATTTTTCTACAATCCAGTTCATTTCAGGGACTCCCATTTATTTGATTGTTTATAAAATTAGGTGGCCTGTGCTCCCCACTCATTTTTGCGTTTAAAAATATCGATAGTTGGAACGATTTTCGGTACTAAAAACGGTAAATATTAAGTTAAAATCTTGAATTAAACTTGTTTTTGGGTAGCAATAGCAACTGGCAGCAATATCAATAGTTTATATTCAACATTCAACCTAAAATAATAAAGCTAACTGAAACATTAAAACCGTCATTTGATATTGGATGCTTCATTTTTAGTGGTATGTACATGTATATATTTAAGCTGAATATAGATTATCAATGTGATAGCACAAAAATAACTATGTTTGCTGTGAATTAATTTGTAATCACGTCTTCTTTTCCATATCACCAAGTTGACAAACAACATGAAAATAATATAACGTAAAATTCTGAACACACGTTTAATTTCATACACCCTTACGTTTTTACACGAACATGTAGTTAATGTGTAGCAAATGTTTAGTTACTTGCCATGTAAAAATAGACATTTTTGTTGACCTTTTTTGTTTTATTTTGTAAAAGGAGTCCTTAAGTGAAAAAATTGATTCATCAATCGGATAAAATTATATGTTAAGCGCTGCCCATTGGCAGCGTCTGTTTGTGTACGCCAAGACGCGAATTGGCCGATAAACGCGATGAATGTTGAAACTCTAGAATTCAAATTACAAGAACAAACATTTGCTGAACGCGCAAATGCTGAAAAGTTGAAACATGTTAGTAATACTAAAAGCAAGCACGCAAGCACGAAACCTGAATAGTACCATAGTGATATAATATACATACATATGTATGTAAATGCATGCATATGTGTGTAATTGTTTGCTAATCGTTGAAACTGGAAAACAAACATTAAACTCACTTACCTAAGGTAAAGTACGTGAGCATTGATTTTTCATCTGACGCTTGTAGAGGCAGCCTCTCGTTGTTGCTGTTGCTGTTTCTGCTGTTGCTAATGATTTTTTTCTTCTGTTGCAGCCTTTACATACCACAGCCAACACGTCAAGATGGCCGTGCAACTGAAGCATAATTACCACCACCTGCCATTGACTATCACGCCGATCCTGTGCCAGCCAGTGCTGAAGCCGGCTCCTATGCCACCGAAGCCGGAGGCCCCCGACCTAACGTTCCACTGTATGTGCTGCTCGGAGTACTTTGTGCATCCCCTGGCCCTGTATCAGCACATGAACAGTCGGCATCCAAACGAGCCAGCGCAAGATCAGAAGCCAGGGGAGTCCCAGGAACAGCAGGCGGAGGAGGGCGAGGACTATAGTTGGATATTCGAGCCAGTCTGCGAGCTGGAGGAACAAGAGCAGCAGTCACAGGCTGCCAGTAACGACAGCGACTCGTCGGACGACGACGACAGCGACGAAGATGACAGCTCCGATGATGATGACGACAGCAGCTCCAGTTCCAGCTCCAGCAATTCCTCCAGCTCGACCAGCTCCATGCCTAGTTCCACCAGCAACTCCAACACCCAGCAGAGTCAGAGTCAAGTCAAGAGCCCATGGACTCCTTAAGCAATGGAGCGTGCCTCGAGTTGGAGTCTGCGCACCCCATGAGGTGCTTGCTTGCCGGACCGCATCCAAACGAATTCCATCTGCAAATGGCAGATTCTCGGGAGTCTACTTCGATTATTCTACTGCAACCCTCCATGAGTATAACCCCTCTCAGTACTCCCGTGAGCCATCCCAATCCGCATCTCCATACGCCACCACCTCCGCTTCCCCCCATGAGCATCTCCCTGGAGCCTGCCCCTATCAAACGCCGGCGCGGTCGTCGCAGCAAGGCGAACAATCCTATGCTGGACTCTGCAATGGCCGCGAACCCAGCGGCGCAGAAATGCTTTCAGTGCTCCCATTGCGAGGCCAGCTTTCCCAATGCTGGCGATCTCTCCAAGCACGTGCGATCCCACATCACCAACAAGCCCTTCCAATGCTCAATATGCCAAAAGACCTTCACCCACATTGGCAGTCTCAACACACACATAAGGATCCACAGCGGAGAGAAGCCGTACAAGTGCGAGCTCTGTCCGAAGGCGTTCACCCAGTCCAGCAGCCTGATGGTCCACATGCGATCCCATGCCGTGCGCAAGCCGCATCAGTGCGTGCAATGCGACAAGGGATTCGTGAACTACACCTCGCTCCTGCTGCATCAGAAGACGCACACGGCGCCAACGGAGACGTTTGCCTGTCCGGAGTGCGAGAGGGAGTTCAAAGCGGAGGCGTTGCTGGACGAGCACATGAGAATGCACACCCAGGAACTGGTTTACCAGTGCGCCATTTGCCGCGAGGCCTTTCGCGTCAGCTCCGAGCTAGTCCAGCATATGAAAAACCATATGGGCGAGAAGCCGTTCACGTGCTCCCTCTGCGATCGCTCCTTCACCCAGTCGGGCAGCCTCAACATACACATGCGCATTCACACCGGCGAGAAGCCCTTCCAGTGCAAGTTGTGCGACAAATGCTTCACGCAGGCCTCTAGCCTCAGCGTCCACATGAAGATACATGCTGGCGAGAAGCCCTTTCCCTGCCACATCTGCGGCAAGTCCTACAGCCAGCAGGCATATCTGAATAAGCACATCCAGAGCCACAATCGAGCAGACACAGTCCCAGGGGTGACCTCTGCGCCGGTGCCCATACAGCGACACGAGACACTGGTGTGCATTGTCTGCGGGTCGTTGCATGCCGACGCAACCGCCCTGGCCTTGCACGTGACCAGCCAGCATGCGGCTCTTTTGGACAACATAAAGCACACTGCGATGCCAACACCAGCTCCGTTGGATGGCAAGTGCAGCCAGATGCAGCAGCAGGCTTACATGCAGCGCGTTCAGTCGATGCTACAGCAGATGAACCAGCAGCAGCAGCAGCTGCCAGCCATGGACTCCACTGGGGAGGACGAGGAGGATCCCGAGGAGGAGGAAGATCTCGAAGAGGAGGAGGAGGAGGAGGAAGACGTAGACGAGCCAGAGTCGCTGCCAGAGGCCGATGATTGCGAGCCCAGTGTTTCTGCTTCCGAACAAGAGACCGTTATGGACTCGGACATGTATTACGAGGAGTTTGCCGACATGGACGTGGGCTGCCAGGAGGAGGTGTGCGGCGACTATGTCGATAATGAGGAAGAGGTCTACACCGAGGAGTTCATCTAAATATAAGTTGCTTACCGTTTTGGCCATCGACTTTAATTGTCCCGCATATTTATATTTACAAGGAATGTGGATCGGCTCGCGAATTGTCTACTCGGCAGATCTTATCACATTTTAGGATCCAATTCTCGATTCTCGAGCCTCGAGCCGTTTGCATTCCACGCCTTATCACATTTTGCTCATCATTATCTTGTATTTTTAAGTGGAGTCGTTATTTATTTGAATCTACCAGAAACTTGTTCTGTATCTAGTACTAGTAAAACATCTCATGTTTGTCCATCCTCCCTCTGGTAGCAGGTGCCACTTTTCATATCAACTAAGAATTACATTACCCAGAGTCTAGAACACTCCTGTCCTGGGATGGATGGATGCATTGCATTGTATTGCACATTATCTTGTAAAGGTATTACATTTTGTTAGTATTAAGACTACTCTAAAGTAAGAGAAAGAGTAAGAGTAAGAGTACGCTGCTCATTTAGGCGCGTCTCCTAAATGATGTTCCCCATTCCCGATCACCACGTTGAGCTACAAACTGAAAGCTTCGACAATTCCACTCTGCATAATTCCCAATCCAATATACATACATATATATGTAAAGTCGCCTTGGAGCACACCCTGAAGAGATTACATTAATCGTTACTGAAAAAAAAAGTCAAATGCCTTTTTATGTTTCCCAAAGGAGGAATAGTTTACTCGGAGTGTTTGAGCAGAGCAATGGAATGAATCTCTTAGCATATTTAAATTTTGGTAAACGTTCCAACCCCACTGGTGTCAAGTCGTCCCTGATCATTCAAGTCCAGCGTTGGATCCGTTTCGGCAATCCCAAACATGCCCGCAAGGAGATAGCCGCCAGCCATCATGTCATCCGGCTCCAGTTTCTCCGGCGGGGCAATCAAGGCATCGTCGCCTTGGTAGACATAGGGCAGTCGGAGGATCCAGTAGGCGCTCTGCGAAAGTCGTGGTGGGACCATGCTGCCCAAGGTGAATGTGTACTTGTCCTTTCCCATGCAGACTTTGGGGTCCACGATGATGTTGACGGGAGCCTTGGGAGTGACCACATGGATACGCATAAGCTGGGCCAGGTAATTCTTTTGGGACCGGCAGGGACAGGGATAGTACAAGGGCATGTTGGTGTGCACCATCTTGCTGCAGGTGTCCCGTTCGATGTCTGCTCCGCCGCGGAGTACACGGTCCGGACGGCACATCATAAAGCGGTGCCCGCGCGAGCACTCGTACTCGAATCCCACGAAGATCTTCAGAACCATCCGATCGCCGTGTTTGCGATATCGTTGCTGCTTCTTGCTCATATGTGGCTGGTGGGAATTATGATAGTGCTTGGGTGCGTGGACAAGCCTCAGCTGGACGTCCCAGGGTAGGAGGAAGTTGGCGCCAGAGAGAAAACCGCTCTGGAAGTGCTCTTGTAGGCCCGTGTTGTGGCTGTAGATGGAACTGGGGCCGACACAGGCAAGTGACCAGCTGGGGAACAGGGGCAGAAGTCCGACTTTACTCAAGGTGTGCACCAGGCCAGGCAGATATTCCGTGGTGGAGGTCAAGCACATGCTGGGCAGAGGGGTGGCGGAGGCGGGATCACAGGGTTCCTCAGGCTTTTTGGCGGGTTCTTTCAGCTGCAGCACCAGCTCGTTATTTGACTCAGCGCTAGAGGTGCTGCTACTGGTGGATTCCGCATCAGAGGTGGAACCCTGCTCGAAGCACGGTTCTGATTCGTTGAGCGAGACTCCGAAGCCGGCTATGGACATGTTGAGATCCGATCCAAAGGTGGGGGACAAGGGCTGGGAGCAGCCATTGCTCTGAGTGATATGCTGCTGCTCCTGATCCCCCGTTGGCAGCTCTTCATCCTCCTCGTCCAGTTCTGCGTCCTGGGCGAGACGATTCTTCCCGTTATGCAGCAGGGGAAACGCAACCTCGAAGGCCGCTGCCCGATAGTCATTGTTGGACGGTTCGAAGATGGGGAACTTGAACTGCTTGACCTTCACACAAAGATTGCACATTTTGACCATGTGCTCGTAAAACTCGTAGTTGGCCTGTTGCAGGCTGAAGGGGTCCTCCCTCCTTCCCTGAGTCCGGCCACAATTACAGCTGGACACGTGGATCACTCCACTGCTGTGTTTGTCATGCGGCATTTTTCTGGGCTGTGTACAGGGCTGCGATCGCAGGCTGAGCTGCTCACACTGCTGCCTGCCATCCTGCCAGTGCCTGAGACAGATTTCCGACATCTTGGCTATGGACGCCTCAGCCGGTGGTCCGCGTCCCTCCTCCTCAAAGGCGAGGGTGGCATCGGCAAGCAGTTGCTGGTGCATTGAGCTGCCGTAGATGACTGGGGCAGCCTGTTTATAAGCGGCTATGCCAATCTTGAGGCCAATCTCGCACAGGTGGGCCCAGAATCTGAAAAGCAATCGAGTAAGCAGAGAAAATCTAAAGTCTAAGGGATGCCTCACTCACTTCTTCTCATAGTTGAGGCTCTCATCAAAGGATTGCAGAAAGAGGCGCTGCAAGGAACCAGAATGAGTTAAACTTTTAGGCTGTTTTCCAGCCACCAACTCACATAATCTTCGTTGCGGATCTCGTTGATGGATTCCTGTGTTCCTGCGTTCGTCACCAGCAGCTTGTGCAACTCAGCGATGCAATCGTGCCACTCGTGCGCGTTGAGCAACTGAAGCTGTCCCCTTTGGGGGACCTGTTTGAAGGAGCCCTCGTCGAAGCAGCCTAGCAAGGCGTCTTGGACGTGCCTTTGCAGAAAGTTCCAGACGGTGTGCTCTGTCTTGTACTGCTGCTCCTCATAGTTTGTCTTTTCAAAGGACTCGCCAAAGGACTTGACGAACCCTTCAAAGGGGGCCAGTTCAAGAACTTCCAGATCATCCTCCTCTTCTTTGGCATCTAGCTTGCGCATGTCCAAGTTTAGGAATTCTATGGACTGCAGAAGTCTGTCCGCATGGAGCTCATCGTGGGCATTGTAAAAGACAAACTGCTTATTGTTGGGCAGAGCCAGCAGAGAGCTCGAACTGCTGTTGCTAATTATCTGGTGGTGGCGCAGGAACTCATAGATGCTGTCCTCCGTTTGAAATTCGCAGGCGGAAACGCATTCCCGGGTTTTGGCATCGTCTTGGGGAAAGTTCTCAAAGAGGAACAGAATCCTTGGGGTACACAGGCGGCACTTCTCGCCAAGCAGTGCCCCAGCAGGGGTCTCCTTCAAGAGACTGGGCAGAAACTGCATCAGATGCTGTTCTCTGGCGAACTTCATGAGCTGAAAAATGGTCACTAGAGAGAGGTCAAAGGTCTGACCCGTCTCCACGTAAACTAAAATGTGGCAGACGTGCAGGGCCAGTAGCATCATTCGCACGAACCGGCACTTCATCCGTTCGTAGAAGTCATCGAATATAAACGGAGCCCCGTCCTGTTCCATAGTTGCATCTATCTGCTGGCCCAGTATCGCATCGTCGAAGGTCGTTTCGAAGTGCACCAGCAAAGTGGAGGTGCCTGGCTTATAGTAGCACTGCAACTGTTCGTCACACGGCTTATGGTCTCTAGGTGGTTCCATCCGAAAGGCCCGCATTTTGTTGGCCAGATCGCATCGTGATCGGCCAATAACTCCAACGACCACGAGGGACCGGCCAAGCTGGTCCAGTTCTTGGCTAAAAATGAAGATACGTTAATTTGTACAGTGGTTACTGGAAAGTACAGTACTTACGCCACAGGCTCAGGTATGTTTGGATATGTCCAGGTGTGGTAATCTTTCAGCCCCATTTTTTACGCCACATTTGTTTATTATTGTTTTGCTTCTGTATTTGTTTTTTATCTGAAATTTCCAATTCGGTATGGGATTTATCCCAATTGAGCACAATAGAGGTGTCAAACCATCGAGGGCACTATCGATAGTATCGATATTTTACTCCTAGCCTATCATGATAGTATCGAGCTACAGGCACTAACCATACAGTATATGTATACTGTATGGTTAGTGCTACAGGTTAGCGCTTTTGATATGTATGGATTGGCTGCTATAAAATACGAAGACAAATTTGTAAACAAATCGACAGGTGGCATCTATTTTTACAATGGACAAGTTCCTAAAAGGTTTCAATGGTTTTTTAATAATTATTTGAGCCCGATACTATTACGATAGTATCGATTGTTTTTCTCAAAACATTCAACGTTGATATTCCTCGATTTTGATATTCCGTTTAATATTACTAGCTAGTTGGCTCTCTCAGCCCTAAACAAATAATTTTATACGATAAATACATAAATTTTCTACAAGATTGGTTAGTTTTCAGAAGTCCTTGTTATTGCATTGTTTACATAAAAGGGTTCAAACAAAAACGGTTGTCATTGCTGGTTGTCAACCAGACCATACTCTGCTATGAGTATGGACATTTGTACACCCTATTATCGATACCCTTTAACTAATGTTAAATTTGTTTTCCAAGCTGCTTTAAAACATTCATACTAAGCTTTCTTTCTCTGTGGCATCTATTGTGGCGACCCTGGCACAATAGTGTATAAAGAGTGTATATATATCTTTATATCTATTTTATTTATACTCTAATTTAAAATAAATAGAGAAGAGATATAAGTCGGTTAATAAGGAAAAAAATCATATAGGAATTACTCATATCGGAATTAATATAGTTGAATGTCGAGTTTTGGTGGCACTCGTCCATAGGCTGGATGGTGGACGCGACGATGATAGGGATCTGCTCGTCTCTGATGCGGTGCCACAGGATATCCGGCTGTCGGTGGTCCCAGCGGCATAATTTTTTTAGGAATAATACCGCCCGGTGCTGGTGTGCCCGGCTTTTCCATCTATTACACTACCCGACACGATTTTTCCTCAAGGGACCAAACCAACTTTTTCTAAAAGATTTGGGGCTTAGAATTCGTTAGAGGTTTTTTTTTATCATGGCAGAACTTTTTTTGTAGGAATTAAAAAAAAAAATGGTATTTTTTAAAATTTTGTTCAGAGGTGTTCTTTCTATTCACATAACTTAAATATGTTACATCTGGCTGTAAAGATTTTTGCCATTCTGAAAAGCTTATTGATGCACCTAAAAATTAAACCCAAAAACTTTGTGGTTTTAGCTTGTTATCTGGAAAATGTTAAGATTTTAAACGCAAATGTGATGATTTTTGTGCGTTATTTTTAACGAATTTTGACTTTAAAAAATCAGGAAAAGTAGACAAAAAATTATATCCTGTGTTCTTTATTTTTTGTTTATAGGTGCATTAATTTGGCGTCGTTTAAGGTATTGTTTATTAAAAGCTGTGGAGAAAAAGTTTAGCTAAACTTGGTTGACCACTTCTCCGAAAATCACATTTTACCGTTGCTGGCCCACCAAGTAATGCTTGTTTTAACATTTTTGAATTTTACATGTACCAAAATTTTCTTTTCCACGTTATGTTTTCTGTTGATACATGAACTTCAGATTTTCAGTAAAAATTATGAAAAGGCCCAAAACGTTGGGGCAGCAACGTTTTAAGCGGTAAAATGCGATTTTCGGAGGTTTTGTCAACCAATAGATTTATATGAGCAAAACGTTTAACGTCGCTGAATTGATAACCTTTACAAACAAAAAAAAAAAAATAAAGGACCCAGGATATACTTTTTTTTCGACTTTTCCTGAGTTTTTAAAGTCAAAATTTGGTTAAAAATACCGCACCAAAATCATCACTTATGCATTTGAAAGCTTTACATTTCCTAGATGATAAGCTACAACCACAAAGTGTTTGGGTTTTATTTTTAGCTGCATCAATTAACTTTTCAGAATGGCAAAGTTTATTACAACCAAATGTAAGATACTTAAGCTATGTGAAAAAAAGAAGCGCTACCCCTGAAAAGAGCATACAAAAAAATCAAGTTTCAAAAAATACTTCCAAAAAAAGTTCTGCATAGAAAAAAAACCATAATTCCTTATACAATTTTAAAGCCCCCAAATCTATTAGAAAAATTCGGTTTGGTTCCTTGAGGAAAAAAGTTCGATTTTGTCGAGTAATGTTATCGAATACGCACAACTGCCAACTTGCTGGAAAATATTTCCCAAGCATACTCTGCGACAGTATCGATAGGCATCGATAGGCAGATATCGGTATTTGAAATGCGGCCGTTTGGAAGTTTGAATTATATACTATGAATGAAATTTATTCTTGAATAAGAAAACTCCAGAATTGTTTGTCTAAAGCAATCAAATTTTTATTGTAAACTTTTCAGTTGCGTTTTATAAATGTTCCTTTAGCTTCCCTTTTAGTGTTTCTTATATGTCTTATAGCGTGTACTCGCACGAGAGTATGGGTGTGCTTTAAATGAGAACTACATAGGTGCGTGATTAAGTGCATGCTCGAGTTTTTTAATGCTAAGGGTGCTTGCTTAGACTGTTATGTTTTTGTAATGGAAATATGCGATGATTAATTGTTTAAATAGTATGCAAGTAGCATTTTCAAGATAAGTTTCTAATACTTTTCAGTTCTGATAGAGAGAAGAATTGGCATATTCTGTGTATTGATATCCAGCTATAATTTTGTATGTGCTTAAAATTGTTTTGTAATTATGCACTATACCCTCTACCCCAGCTATTTCCCCCTTTTGCCATATTGAGCACATTTAAAATACTTTTACGTTAGTTTTTGATTGACAGGGATCTACTAGAAACTACTACAAATATTCGTTTGATGTAGGTGTACTCGTGGAGCGAAGAAGTGCCAAGTCAATGCTTTATCAAGGTTATTTACAAAGTGTTGGGTATTGTTAATGCATTTGAGTATATGGTTTATGCTGTGATTGGGGCTGTTCCTTCAATATTTATTTACAATTCTGGAAATTGTTTCGTTTCATTTTACTTAAATGTGTCCTTTAGCTATCGACCTGGATCTTTGGATCTTTAAAGCCCAAATCGGTTATACTAAAGGTACAATAATAACCATTGTAGAACCACTTTTCCTCCAGTTTCGCTCACTTAAGAGAACGAAACGAAAACCGTGTGATTAAAATTTCTTTTTTGCCAGGCTTTACTGTGATTCTGCACTCAATTACTGTTTCTACTTGCTAAACGACTCAGCACGTAAGCTTTCCCTCCTACTCCACGTTTTGGCAGTGAACCTGAGCTTTCATCTTTGTCTTGGTGACATCTCGACTACGTTACAAGAACCGCCGGTCACCCAATTGTTTCCTTTTTATAATTAATATTTAATAGATACATGATTTAATGGTACTTTAATCGAGAGCACGTTTAGTATGGGAAAATTTTTGCGAACAACCAGAGTGTCAGTGAGCCCCAATCTCGCGAATGGGATGATCTTTCTTCCAGAATGGAGCACAATATTATTAATTTCACTTAACAGGCTTTGCTTCTTTTCGATTTCAATTAAGCATACCACATTCGTGTTTGCTTTCAGGCCATTACATGTTTGTTTCTTTTTATTTAAAAAATATGTTTCATCACAAAATTGATGGATTCACGTTTATAAGATTAGGGCTAGCGATCTGGTTATCGGTGACTTAAATTAGACACAACTTCAAATTAGTCAGCGAAAAGATCCAAACTATCAACTAAGGTACACAGAAAACATCGAGACAAGATCAGAATAAGTAAAATTAAAGATTTGTAACTGAATTCCTTGTTCTTTGATATTCAGGCTAAACTTAGGTTCCTAGTTATTTATTGTTTGTCTGCATATTGTATTGCAGGTTGTATTGTTTTTCTGCTCAATGATTTTGCTGTGGTTTTTTTATGTGTAAGAACCTCAAGGGGCTGCAAATTTACAGCGTCTTTGCGCGATCCAGCAGGTCGCTGATGAACTTCGATATGTCCGATTGCGGGCGTTTGCAGACTGATAATAATCTCTGCAAATAGAAACCACCACCAAATATATAAGCATCGGATAAGAAACGGATAGACGCGGATCTACTTACTATGAGATGAGATTTCCTTATGTCATCTGTGTCCATGTCCAATATCTCGTCAATGTCCACATCGATGGCATCGCTCTGGGGTCAGAAGTTTTTCGATGTTAGTTACAGAATTCACGATTTCGTGCTCTATGCTTACCGGTGGATCAAAGAGCTTCTGCAACTCGTCGTAGAGCCACATCTCCACAGCGAGGCGCTTGCGGATGAGGCTCATCTGGTGTGATCCGTATTTGGCAGTGAGGAACTTCTCCCTGCGCTCTTTTACTTCGGCCCCCTTCTCATTGAAGTTGACGCGTAAATTTGTCCTGTTGGGGGAGCGCTCACAGTCGTTCATCTCCAGGCCGCACTGCATTTTTCTATTGATTTACTGACACAAGCTTCGTTTAATGAACCTCAATTAATCGGCTCTGCCTGTAATTGAGGAAAACAGTTGTCAATGGTTGGTTGGATGGATGGATGATTACTTGAAATTTAATCAAACTAATCAAACTCTGCAACTGTAGGCTCCTCTACCAGAGTTCAGCTTTCCGCATGCGTCACACCATTTCTCTTCCACCAGAGCTCGGACTCAGCCATCTGAGTTGTGGATGTGATGCGAAGACGGCTGAGCCTGAGACCCGTTTCTGGCCCTAAAGGCATTCTCGAATGCCCGCATCGATGAGTCACCTAACTCCCTGCTCTTCGGGTCAGGTCTGATTCATGCATTCCATTATAAATTATATGTTCGTACATTTGTGTACTGTACTTTATCTATGCCCACGAATTACGATGACATGCGAACAGGAATAATTGCTAACATGTCACGGCTTTGTCCTATTTCTGAGTACGAGTATATATGTATATACATGTGTGTACATACCCTCGCTCTTATATACATATGTACATACTTTTAACAGTTAATTAACTTAACGTAAAATTTATGGTTCTCTGATTTCTGACATTTGACTTCTGGGGGCCATGCGATTTGTTTTATGTATGTACATATGTATGTGTGTATGCACAATCATATTTAAATATATAAAACATCGTATGTATGCTGTAGCTGACACCCGTTAATAGTGAAACCACACGAGAGGAAATTAGATTTGTTAAAAACTTAAAAATCGATGCTACATCGACATTTTCAACTTGTGCTTTAGGAATATATGTACGTATGCACAACATAGATGTACTTAATCCTATCCGATTTACAATATACTCTGTTAGAGCTCTTCTAGGGATATGAATACATGTACATACATACATACAAATAAAACCGCTCGGTAACATCATCACATAGTATGATAGTACCATCCAGAACAGTACCAGTACCAAAACAGATTCAAGTATTTTTCCAATTGGTTCTCTCAAAGCAATGTTCCATTTCCAAAGATTTAGCCATATGGTTAATTCAATTAATTGACAATTTCACTTGAAGGGGAACTATGTTCATAAAGTTGTATGTACATAAATATGTAGCTAACACAGACTTGGTAAGTCTCTTCTGCATTACCTGAATAAAGTGGAAAACATGGCTGAAATTCACCCCCTAGGCGTAAGTTTAATGATAATTTGTTCGATACATGAAAACAAACTCTCCATGCTAAGAATAATGAACATCATAATTATGCAATATCTTAGAATTGAGACATTTACCTTATCGAGCACCTAATCGGCAATACCAAAATAAAATATGCTCTTCTAATTGCCGCAGCTTTTTTTTTTGACGATTTTAATTTCACCACATTTTTTCCTTTTCCACCGAAAAATAAAGGTCAACCCCCCAAATGGCTCAGGCCCAGGCCAAGGCATCAGAATAACCAATCCCGCTACCTGTCGCCCATTCGTATTTCTGCCCCAGCTGCCACCCCACAGGCGCACAATAAAATAAATAAATGCCGAAATCAGAGCCTTGAAACTTCCCATTTGGCACACAAACGATTTAGCAATGTTACTCCACTTTCGGTAAATAGTTTTCTTTCCTCTGCTTTGAGTGCTTGCATTGTTGTTAAGGTATTTTGAGCATCAGCTGAGATTTTTCCGCATTCACCGCTAAAAATACATACCCCGACCCCGCTGAAGATAGTGGAGTTTTTCGATATGTGCGAAACCTGATGCGGGGCTCGCTTAATCCCTAGAAGTCATGAGCAATTATCAAACGGACGTTTAACTTGTCACTTGCATGTCAACCAGCCGGCTGGATGGCAAAGAGAAGTACGAACCCAAGCGGATTGCATGGGCGGTAATGTGAGATTTTCCGTAGGGGAGCTCCGCGAGCAGCTCGATTTTCCAAGGGCCTTGCGCCGGAAATTGTACTAAATGCGGTCCGTTTGGCCTATTACTTCGAGTCGCACTGTGGCAATAAACCTACCTGTAAGAGCGTAGTTGTGGCTACAAAATGTAGGATATTATATCTTCATTGCTCAATTTATTTTGATCATAAGAATATATCAAAATGTTTCAGATAAATATGACTAGAGTAATTTGTTATAAAAATAGTTGATCTGATTTCTCAAGAGAATCGAGAAAAGGAAGGGAAAAATATAGTATCGTATCTCTTTTGAAAAAAGTTTCACAACGCTTAGCTCTAAAATGGTTTGGAGCGGCAACGTTAATTGTGGGATCTAATAAATTATGTTGACTACCCCTAGAGAGATATCTGAGGAATTTCCACATATTTTCCCAAACTCTGAAGAAACGAGAGAAAAAACTATTTGACCGAAGATTATCAAGTACGAGATAGTGCGGATGGGATGTGGCTGAGGTGGGCGGAATATAAAGGTAAATTATACGAGTACCTTTGTTATTATTGCTTGCCACATCTGACGCTGGGGCTTTGCATAAATATTATGTTGAAATGCCTCAAACAATGCGGCCGTAACATGCAACATGTTGCATGTTCAGCGGCCAGAAAAACAACAACAAAGCGTGTGTAAGGTAACTGCGAATAAAATTGTATCATCGGAGGCACAACCACTGTACAGCGTTGCAGAAACTTCCGGAATCAGTGGGGAATATTTCCCACATGTGGCCGGGGCCCACCTGGGGACTGGGCTGGCTGCCGATTTGACTTATGTAATTCTTTTCCTTTCTGTTTCTTTTGTTTGTGAAAGGAAACAGAACCATCAGCCGAACCCGAACCCGAACACATTACAGTTGCATGCCACTGCAATTTTCGGAATAGTTAATGTATTTCAAATCGATTCGAATGGAACAAACCCCATGACTGATGGTAGATAGATCCACGGCTAGTATTAAAAATTAAAAATGTAAATTGGCACAGACTTTCCACAGACCCAGACCCAGACCCAGCCCCTGGCTCGGACTCTAACCAATCCTTTCACACATACAACTGAAAAGTCAATGTTAATATTTAAGTGATGTCTGCAGTCGTGGACATGGAATTGATACATGGATATCAAATTATCCTTAGCCGATTTTCAGACGGGCATAAAATAGGCTACGAATCATCACAGGCCAGGCTATTTCCCTTTAGTTGATGAGTAAATAAAATTCGGAGCAAAATCAAACCAGAAGCAGCACCTGAAATGTGGTCAGCTTTACCATTTAGCCTTCACAGTTGTCCAAATGGTTTCATCTAACTCGTAGCCATTATCCATTGGATCTGATTAATCAAATACTGTGTAACAAAACGGCAATTAATTAACGTATATTTGATCAGCTATAGAATGAAAAAATGAAATTTGAATTAGAATCAGGTCAAATTCGAAACGAAACAATTCAAATGATTTGACCTTGAGAATCATACCCAAACCATCCACAATATAATGCCAAATAAATGCAATTCGCATGAGTCGCCATTCCACAGAGACCTTTTGGAGTTTGGTTTGCCCTAAATGGAAATAACGTTTTTGGGCAGGCGCCAAACCAAACGCAGAGTGCATAAGGCTCATGCTAATTTCAAGGTAATTATAGATTAATTATACATCAGACATCATAACACTTGCCAAACACGCAATTCGAAACTGATCTAGAAAATACGAACATTTAAATAGAATTTTGAATGATTTCCAGTAATGGAAAAACTGCATAATTCAGACTGGGGCTTAATTTTCTTTTAGGTTTCTGCTACAAATCCCATGTCCACATAACAACAGCTCCTTCAGCCTAATTTGCATGTACATTGTACATATATGAGTAAGAATGAGACAGAAAAATGGGGATCAATAAGTATCATAAGAAACCAAATCCGAAAAATCCAGTTCATCGAGTCGGACCCAGACTAAGCATGGCATTAACCTACATACATACATATGAAGAAACGGTCGATACTGATTATATCTGTGGGTCGGCTTTTGGGTTCTTCTCAAAGATTCATTCAAGCCGACATTTTCACAGACCATACTCGAGGGAAAAGTGAAATGTGACGCTTTTATGCTAAAAAGCCTACGAAATAAAACTAACAAAGAGCCAGCGATTGTTTATGCAAATGCTCAATGAGTCGCAGCTCGCAGCTTGTAAAACTTCCAAAAAGATATGAGAAAAGTCTGTCCAGAAAGTCAGAGCTGAAATCCAGTTTATAAATATTTTGTATAGAAGAAAATTTAACAACTTCAGGCTGGGGTCCAACTGATATTGTAGAGACGCTAAACTTGAGCTTAGTTTCATGACATTAGTCATCAAACGGTTTATTCAACTGCCGGCTTATCAGCCAGACAAAACAGCCAGCTAAGCTACAATAAATAAAAAACCATTATTTGAGTTACAGCCTCATTTGAATAGATCGAGGCATTACATGGGCACTACTGATAACCCACAGATGACGCTGATTCATGCAATCTCGAAGCATATTCAGTCAGGGGAGAATCAACAGAACAACACAGCCAATTAATATACAAACATACATATGTACATTTATATGTATTTCCTTTGTGGTTATTTTGTATACTTTGGACACACAGCTAGCTAGTGATTGATTGGTGGGGATTGATTCTATCCCAGTTAAACACGCGCCTGTCATTTGATCACCCTGAAGAGCATTTTCGACATTGATAGGTCGTTAATTTCTTTAGAAAATATCTCATTCTCAAACCAATTTGGCAGGGGAATCTCTTAAATAAGAAATATCACAAGTTAGCCAAAATCAGTCGCTGATAGACACGATCTATACGATATATTCGTTTCTATATTTTAATTAATCGAATTAATCAATGAGCAACAGTTGTGGGACATAGTTTGATTAACAAAAAATCGTATGAAACTTAACAAAAATTCAATAATTCAATTCAATTCAAAAATTCCATTCAATAAAGAGCTGATCCAGAAAGCGTTCAACAATTATGTATAATGAGAAGACACAAAGCCATGCAAGTTCTCGGGTTCCCAGTTAAGCAATCACCTCTTTTGGATGCCTGGGGCTGACTCATTTTTTGTAGGGAGTAAGTCGAAATTGCTATTTTCGGTATATTTGCAGGCGGCTTGGTTCTTTTAATATTCAAAAGCAAATTTGTCTTATTGGTCAGCCCTCTTCTATGTTTTTTTTCTTTGTAGGTCCGAAAAGGGGTTAAAAACAAGTTAAAAACAAACAGCCATCACATTAAATGCTTCAAGAGTCAGCGTTATGGATAAATAATTACAAGAGAAAACACCTACGATAAATACAAAGATGCGAAGAAGTCAAGTAGCCGGGCCGAGCGGCCATTAGGTAGGCAGCCAAGTAGCCAGAAAGCGGTTGTTGACCTCACTGGTGCCAGAGACAGAGCCAAGAGATGGGCATATTCAAAATGCTTACTAGGCAAAATACTGCCAAAACCAAGTTGTCATGGAAAAATTATACGGGCACTGGTTACCGGTTACCGGTTACCCGGCAATACTATTATTGAGTTGTTCAAAAAGCTTTTCCTCCCCACAAATTACCTTTGGTAAATGTTTGCCCACTCCGGCCAAGAGTTCTTGGTACTCGATGTCTTGGTAAAGTAAACTCTACTCTGGCGGCCTACTTGACGTGCTTTTCGGGGCGGAAAAAAAACAAATAAAATAGTACAATGGACTAAACTGTTTTTCCAGGCATTGTATACGTACAATATTTGCTGGCTAATTTATGGTTTACGCAATGGTTGTGTCGTTCTTGGCTCTCGGGGAGGTTGCGTCATGGAGACTGTGAAAACGCTCGGATAGGTGTGAGAATTCTCATTGAATGATGGGCGCAAGTGGAATAAAAGTTTTGGCGTTTATAAATAGATGGAATTGAGTCCAACGCATTGACCAATATTTTGCAACGCGACGAGAAGAGCGGAATCCTCTGTGGGTTCTAATAGGGGGAGATATTGTGAAAGATATAGAAAAAATGACACAATAGATACTCGTACCATATGCCAGAAACAGATAATAAATTGTAACAGAATAATAATCTATGAGAAACTAAGATATATCAAGTTTACCACATGAAGATGTCGTGTAATGTTGGAGACATCCGAAATCTTATTCTTGACCACAACCCTGTCAAACCCGATATCGGAGAAGGTGCAGTGTAGTCCCAAATGCCAAAGCAATCGATAATGGGAGGACTGCACGCAATTCAAAGCCACATATGTAGGACCTGATGAGGTTCTATGAAACCGAAAGGAGCAATCATCAAATGTACACATAAATATCTATAAATAACCAAAGTTGTCATTGTCAGCCACTAGGAACAATGGGAATAAGCCACGAAACATGGCAGGTGGAGTGAAATCACGAGAACTACACGCAAAATGTACGAGGACTGACGGGCTCAGCTCCATCGCTCCCACCTTATCCCCCCGTTGAGAACTTATTTATGATTGCCTCGCATTACATAGTACAGTACTCGTCGTATAACAGCGATTCTGGGCAACACAAAACGATTCAAAAAGCTCCCCCTCTATCGGTAAAAATAGTACATATGTACATTGTACATTCATACATAGATGTATACTGCATCCATATATAGGGCCATTTAATTGTGTTTACAACTGCAGCTTTATAGCTGCAATCACAATACAGGCAGCCTCTGCCCATGTCCACATTCATTGCCAGCTGTCGGCACAGTATTAGAGTTCAAAGAATTGTGCTCTCAATAGGGATTCAAGTCCGTCTATAGGATATTTGATCGTTTTTTCAGAAAAACGATCCAAAAAGAGCAGCGTATACTCACATTATTTTGAGGAAACTATTTAGTTCTCGTATGTAAGACCACGAGAATTTGAATTGTGTTTATTTATTGATTTGCATATGGCAAAACTATTATGTACATATTCGTATCAGTTAACGCAGCCCCTCTGAAATAGAAGATATTTTGAAACAATTATGGGTACCCATTGAAAACAGCATTTTTAATAGTTAAGGTTAGTTAAATATGCATATCCTCTTACTATGCATTGAGAGTTTTTCAAATTGCTTTCATATTTAAACACACCCTCTCAAAGGCACAATCATTTATCATTATTAGCTTCAGAAATAATTCAATCCAATGGCTCGAAATGCATATCAAATTGGACACTCCTGGCCCTCGACTAGCAAAAAACCTGCCCGAAATATCCGTATCTCTCCGTCTTCTTACCTGCTGATTCCCTCATATCATCTGTCAAACATTAAATTCTTCTGTTAATTTTCATTTTTGAACGAGCGAATAATACTCGAACATTTCCGTTGCCAGATAATAACTCCGTGTCTGCAGATAACATTAATGCCGAGCACGTCGCCTGCTACCTCAAAAAACCCGAAACCCGCAAAGAGAACAGAACGAAACACAACGCAAAATTGCTTATTAATCTGTTTGACGAAATCGCCAGAAACAGACATTTAAGAAGATGAAGATACGTTTGCTTTTTGGTTTTGTGTGTGTTTTCGCCCGAATTTGTCTTGTTTGTTTTCCGTAGGCTATTTCTGGCCTGCACAGTATGTTTTCAAATGTTCAACGCTTTATTGTTTGGATTCAGGCATTATTTATGACCGCTTTAACATTTGCTAGATTCAAGTTCATCGCATGATCTATTCCCCAAGTGAAGAAATTTCTTGTAGAGACCTTCAGGGCAGATCCGAACAAGACAAAGCGTTTATCTCAATCGACTAATCAGCCAGCTGAACTTCAACAAGTAAACGGATAAATAAAAGCTGTATCTCTAAATTGATTTGGGGAATGTCTCGCGTCAGGCCGGACAACAGAGCCAGAGATGAGGTCAAAGCCAGAATCATGCAGAGGGGGATACAGACCCCCAGAGATACGCTCGCAGAACGTGCATTAGGCATTCAAGATACTCGTAGGTATGTACATACTCGTATGAATGTACCTCAATCGGTGTCTGTAGCCGTTTGTGAGTCGTTGCAGCTGCAACATTGACACTTTCCCAGGCCCCAGCACCCTGTAAACATATCGATTGAGAAGACAAAGGCAAAAGGCACATAGCACAAAGGCAAAATATGCAAACATGTCAGAATCAAGCGTCGTGTGTCCAATACTCAATGTATCTCGTATCTGTACGTATCTGTATCTTGTGGGGCTTGTGTTTTTGCTGGCACTGCACAGTGATTAGACACAAGCGGCGCAAAATGTTATGACTGCGAATAAAACCAGGTTACAAAACGCAGCAGAGGCATAAAGAAATTACAGCTGACGACATACTTTGGCGGAAATTTCGTTAAGGAGTATCCATATGTATGTACTCTTATATATGTACGAGTAAACGAGTATATCTAGACATCCAATAAACAAAATGCTGAATGATGTAGCAAGTCGAGTCTGCGATTGATAAAAAGTCAATTAAATAGAATTACACACTCGTTCAAGTACGAGTATCTCGTGTCTCGGGATGTGTGTAGCTGCTCGAAGAACTCTCTTCGCAGAAGAGCTTACTAAGGCATAACAAAGGATGTTTATTCAACGAATAAGATGTAGTCTATAGCCAGACTTCACTCTGCCCACACTAAATTTGTAATATCTCTTCGGACATCGCTGCATTTGATTTGCAGGCCATCATGGAATCTCCGTCTCGCCGATGCTAATATCAATTGAAGCATGTTCTGCCCCTGCCCCTGCCTCAGCCCCAGCAACAGCCAACAGTCCCAGGCACAGGTCCACTGGGGAGTGGAAGCGTGAAGCGCAGTTGCGTTTCGTTACGTTCCGCTGAATGCGTGGCCAGAAGCGGCAACAGCAGCCGCCGCACAGACCACCCTTCCATGCCAATAAAAGTCCCACATACATACATACATAGTATGTATGAAGTTGTAAATATCGTAGAAAAACAGAAAATAAAAACGTTAATAATAAACGAGGCAGCAACCACTACATTAAATTCCACTGCTCAACACGCACACACTGCCCGTTGGTTTCTACTGGCGGCTTAGGCTTGGGCCTCTATGCCGCAATGTTTGGGGATGGGATGGGACCTGATACTGGGATACAGCAGGTGGCTACGACAGGCACGCTTCTCCTGGACGCTCGACCGGCTGAGATCCACTCGACTGGCCAGCCAACCAGGCAGACTCATGTACGAGTTGTATGAGCAGATCAAAAAAAGGTACAACTATTTTCCGGTTCTCGACTGCGAGGAAAGTTCTGGTAGCACAGCCTCTGTGGACCAGGGAAATTTTTAAAATTTTCTCAAGTTTGTTCTACCGAAAAGTAAGTATCTGCAGAGCAGATGCCACAATTATAAATATTATAGCACTAATATTCGCTTTAGATGTTAATAAAATTTACTTTTTGGCAATGCTCCAGCGATCGTTTTGGCTTAGTTTATTTTCGAATTCGATTGGATGCTGTTTTCAATTTTCAACAGTCAGAAATTTCACTTGAGGGTATCTTTAATTTGTTTTCTTCTTCTGCTGTGGCCGCTGCCGCTTTAGGCTTTTCCACTTTTCCGCTGTTGCGACTTTCTGCTCAATGAAATTTTCATTTGCACCAGAGCACAATGAGGGCAACCGTGTGGCAGCAACAAAACGCAAGCACTCGCACACACTCACACGCGGGACGCAGTGAGTTTTTCTAACTGTTTGTTTATGAGGCGGCAAGCGTGGAGCTCGGTAGCTTTCGGAATGGAGCTGGGAATTCAAGTGTAGCACGCGCGGCCGGTGGTGAAAGACTAAAACTGCAAACGGAAAAGTATCTGGCGGATACACACCAAAGTCAGCTGCCCCAACATCTCTGCGAGAATAACAGTGCGAGAGAGAACTGAAAAGCTCCCCGGAGGCGAGCTGCTGGCGTTCAGTGGTCCGAACGCGTTGATTTGAAGGCCTACCATAGAGAATTTATTGATGAGTGGAGCATGGCAAGTGGCAGCGGATGACCGGCCCACATGATGGGCTCCGATGGTTAGCAGCATAGCAGCATAGCTTCTGACATATATTTGGATTCTCTTTATTTTTGGTTTTTGGCTTAATGGTTTCGGTAGACAAAGGCAAGCTGGGAGGCATGCGAGACTCGAGATCAGTAGATTTATGGACTTAACAATCAGCTTTGGTAACACTGTCCATGCCCCAATAAAATTTGGTCTTAGGGTTTTCCCATAACTTAATTAAATATCGAACACACGTCGTTTTGCATTGCATCTGCTCTGGATGTGATCGGTTGCCTGGTGCCTGTTGCCTGGATCAGTGTTGCGTTTACAGGCCATCTAAAAGAACATTATCATTTGAAGGCCTATATTGAATTAAATATTACATTTGTTACGGCTGTAAAAATGGGCTTTTAGGGACAATACGATCTGTTCCAGGAGAAATCTGAGCTAACGTTGGGCGCAAGTCTATACAATCGCTGCCTATAAGTATAATGGCCAGGTTTTCATCATTATCGTACTAAGCTGGCAGGGAGAGACAAACGAATATTAATATTAATATTCGTTCTCTGTGCTACGATTGATTGGTTCCTTTATACGACTTATGCTGACTTCAACCTTATTTTGAATATATATATAGTATGTATACTTTAATGGTGTGTGGCGGATGTCGAGGGTTAGAAGCTCTGTGCTCCGTGAGTGACCGTAAACTTGAAAACAGAATAGAGAGTGCTTCCGACAGCAACTGAGAGCAACAGCTGGAAATTAAACACCCTAACAGCGGCGGAGAGCAACAGTGCACTGTTAACCAACGCTCATCTGTCAATTAAGCTCCTGGAGGGGTTTGGAAGGGGGGAGTGGATCCATCTAAATGTGACAGGCATATGTCAGAGAGGGAAAAGTTAAGTTGAATGAGAAGCATTTAAGAAAATCAATAAATAAATATTTGAGTAGCAGATCGGATGTTGTGCTTTGACAATGTCTCGAAAAGTACACGTTACTGTCTTAATTACCTTTCTTTGGCTGTTCAATGCCGATTTTCCCCTCTTGGAAATGACATTAGATATGTATGACTTTGCAACTCTTTCTCCTACACTTACACTCTTACATAAGATATGTATCTTCTAATTTTAAATCGCTCAAATATTAAATAGCCATATACTCGTATTTAGCCTGAAAACTGCAATCACAATATAAAACTGAAGAAAGGCCTCTGACCCTTTACAAGTGTTCGCCTGCGTTTTGGGGGTTTGCTATGGCCAAATCATTGAACTCTGGCTGCTGCCAAGTTCAAGAGTTCATCTGGAGACCCATCAGCATCTATCTGGTCACACCCTATCCCCATTTCTATGGCCCCTTGTTGCGCATTTATTGTGTGGTTAAGCAGTCTCTGTTCCCGCCATCCCCAATAATATCTGACACTTGAAGGTTCCTTGACGCTTTGTCTTTTGTATGAAAAATTCGCCTTTATGCTTACCATTAATTCAATTTGGGAAAACCCCCCTGCCGACTGTCTAGGCCACTTCCCCTTGCCAGGCGGCAATAGCTCTGAGAATTGCTTCGGCAGTTGCGACGCTGTCTGAGCATTTGAAAGTTTTCTTCTATATTATTTTTTATTTTTTCATATAATTAATGACTTCTTGTGCCAGCAGTTCATCAGTGCAGAGGTTTTTTCCAGGGGTTTGGTCTAAGGTGTGAGAGAAGTGTCTTCGTCAATGTGTCTTCGTAATGATGAAAAGATATAATAGGCTTTGCTCTTCGTCTAGGAATACGTGAACCCACAATATGTACCTTCTAAAAATTTGCACAGAGAAATAATAGCACTTGTTTTGCAAAGTAACACAGTGCAAACACTATCCTAACGTGTATGTATTTAAACTTGGTCTAGTAGAGGGACTTAAATACCTCGGAACTGTTGTTACATAGTTTTTTTTATGGAAGATCGAGCTGCTGTTGCTGCTGCTTGCTGCTGCTTGCTGCTGCTTGCTGCTGTGCCCAACGGCTCTTCTAATATCTTTCCAAGGTCTATTCCTTTGTTATGCAAATGATCTAAAATAAGTTAAGCCTCTTTCTTTAAATAAACTTGCCTATTGCTGTTTTAATTAATGTTACTTTTGGTCAGCAAGCCTAAACCGAACTTATGTCGAGCCCAAATGGCAGTTTTAAGTAAGGCAGAGGCAAGTGTCGAATGAAATGTAAAAAGATTTTAGTTTGATTCTCAATTCTAAATTCAAAAAAATTTAATTTCCATAAATAAAAATGCTGGCTTCAGACCCTCTTCTCACTGTAACAGGGGCTACAACCACAACTGATGTGTCTTCTTAGTGGGTTTGTTGTTTTTTTGTTTTTGCTTGCTTAGGACAGGCTACAGTATTCATTCATTCAGAGTGTTTGTCGTTGAGCTTTTTGGAACCATATAAATGAGCGGCTTGGCTGAATTAAGCTTAAAAAGAAACATATGTATGTACATTTTTTGACTAAAAATCAGAACAAGTTCTGTAGAGGCAAGGCCAAACAAAACCAACCACGAGACGAGTCTGACGAAGAACACACCTGGCAACGGAGGCCGAGTGCCCCAACATGTCTTGTCAGTCGCATCCCAGACGCGGTTCCTCTTCATATTCCCCCTCCTCTCCTGTACACTCTCCTCCATTCGGTGCGTCTGGTGAAAATTCCATTTCGCTAAACGTATAAAATTTACGAGCTTTCAGGTTGCACGTGCACATGACCTTTTGGTCCGAAATTCTTTACGAGTCCTGTCGGGTGGATAGAGGGGCGGTGGCCTACGATGGGGATTCTATACATTTTTCTTTTTGTCCCCTCTTCAATGTTATTGAACTTTGGAGGTGGCCGCGGCGTCTCGACGTCTGTGACACGACCGTATGAGTTTCTCGGAGTACGCGGATAACTTTTAGGCGGCTTCAACTTTAACAGGGGGATTGTGTGGATATATGTATGTACATATACACATATGTATGTATGTATACATACAAATGTACATATGTATGTATGCATGTTTATTGCTTTTTCGACATAGTTGAAATGCTATACATTTATACCTGGATATCTACGGTTTTCCTTTTAAAAAGATGGCGAGAACTCAACAATTTCCAAAATCATTTCTATTTATTTTATCATTTGTATGCGGGCATTGTCGCTGTGCATTGTCGCTTGTAAAATCTTTATGTGAAGCATGCAAAAACATAGTAAAGAATGTACATACATACACATGTACACAATGCACTGTAGGTTTGTGTCAATAACCCTTATTCAAGTAAAGGCGCAACCTCCCACAAGTCATGCACACTCATGAACTTTTCCTGGAAAAATATCGAAACAAGAAAAAAAATAAACAAAATTCTTGAAATAGCTGGCCGGCCAGACAGAAACTTTGCTGCATTGTCTTCCATAGTGCAGAATATTACCAACTCATCAGAACAGAACATCGATAGTAGCCTTCAATCGCTCGCTCGAGGAGCAGTGTAATTATGAGGCAAACCCCAAACGAATACAGTTGGGTGCTAAAAATAAATGCAAATCACTTTTTAGTTGGATGTAATCACCGGCCAAACACCCCTAATGTGCCACGCCCTCCGTGCACAGAGCCCTACTCGCCCCTGCCTTTTTTGTCCTTCGTTAAAAGCATTAAAATGGCCAGATACTGCACTGAAGATGCAATTTAAGCGGAGCTGCTGTGATACCCCCTAAACAAATATCCATAAGAGTAGGTAGAATTTTTGAAGAACGAAAAGAGCGAAAGAGACGGATGAATTCGTAGACGAATTCACATGGACAACAAATTCTTACAGTCAAAGGCAATGTTGGCAGAATTTCATCTACAGGGAGAAATACATTAATATATTACACAAAAGGTTTACACAAGGTTTTAGGGTAGCAAACGGCCGAACTCGTAATGACTGCAGCCAGTGAAATAGAAAATGCACATACTCTCGCAATATCACAGACAGACCAACTTAAATACATACATGTATGTATATGTATATATGTACATACATACATATGTATGTACATATGGGTGCAAACAAGCTTACAGTACATCCTCGGAGAAGTGCACAAAGGGTCAGACTTGCAAGAGGTTCAAAGGAAAAAAAGAAGAGTTGTAAGACATTATCAATTTTTACATTTAGATGTCCCAAACTCTTTACAATCGGACTTAATTGGGTCTCTCTTTCAAGTGTGCACTGTACGGGTAAATACATACATATGTATGTATGTATGTACTTAAGGGCGTCTCCAACACGCCCACTTGACGCGAATCCGTGAAATATGCAAGGGTTTTTTTTTGTTATGTTGCTACCAGACTCCAGTATTCTGCCCACTTTATGGCTCCAAATGCTTTTTTTCCCGCTCCCTCTGCTCCTGCTTCTGCCAACTGGGTGGTTGGCGTTGACTGCTCGCTGGTTTTGCCTTTTATTCTCTTGGGTTTTTGTGCAATGTTCGCTCGGGTGTTTTAATAGGCAACGGGGTGCACGTGCATGTAGAGGTGCACGTTTGTGGCCGACCCTCTTTATTTTCACTAACATTTTCAAGTTCCCATTGACTGCTTTAAAGCTATAAGAAGACCCTCCCTGCGCATGCGCTGGCTATGCTTAGAGAGCTATTGGCTAACAGCGCACTGTCAAGCTATGCAGATTGAGAGGGAGGTCCGGATATATAGTTGTAATGATAGTCTAGGACTTGTTATAAATCTGGTAAAAGGTCCCCCCGGAAGATGGGCTTGATATGTTTTCTAGGACTAGCTAATTAATTACACCGTGTGGTGTATCTCTTTAATGGTCTCGAACAGTCTTCTCCGGATTAGTTGATCATCATAGTATCTCGTGTGAAAAATATCCATCCCCTGAATTATTCCTCACCTCGTCCTTATGGCTTAGTGCTTAATTATTAAGGACTCAAGAAAAAAAGAACAGTCAGAGCTTTCAATCGATTTTCATCGCGAAGATATGAGAAGAGCCGACCTCCCGAAATGTCATTGTTGTGCCAAATTGGCTGGATACGTTAAAAGTTCTGCAAGGTGTGGGATTAAAAGCTGCACCATATGGCGACTGGAAAGGAGAGAATGAGCTTTCCATCGTGCGGTTACAATAACTTCTGTGCCAGCATTTTGACTAATTTATAAACACGCTCTTTGTGGGTTCTCTCTCCCTCTCTTCCCGGGAAAATCCACCTATCGGGAAATCACACCCAACCAGCTGTTGTCAAAAGCCCCCAAAGCTTTCCTCGACTAAGGGTTGTGTTTTGTAGTGTTCACTCCGACGGGAAAGTCAGCAATTTGCTTGGGGCTTTCCATTGGTTTACATTTTAACCGACTGCAGTATTTTTGTTTCGTTATAAAAAATTATTTCGAAGCTACACAACAGCAAAAATACACTGAAACAGTGAAAACTCGTACAACAATAATTTCTGCTCCTTTGATTGTGTCGAGTTAGAAGCAGCTGCTAGTGGAAATCTTCGCATATTGAGGAACTCGCAAAAATCAATAAACGAGAAATTTTTGTAAACACGCCAAGCCCTCGACCAGCCTCTGCGCTCATCCTCCTCCTCCCCTCCACGACAGGTGAACTGTGACCGCCATCCGTCCTAAAAAGAGCCATTAGCCAGCGTGACGGTAAAAGAAACGATTGGTTGACTGGTTAACCACAGCCATCATCATCGTCAGCGACTGTGGATCGGTAATCGGTAATCGCTAGTCTGGGGATCATATCTGTTACGCCTTTCAAATGTTTTCCAATCTGCCGCTGGCTGCGCTGCTGCTCCCGCTGCCACTGCTGCTCGTCGCAGTGCAAGCAACGGAGTATGTGAATCCGCCCCAGTCCTCTCCGCTTGTGCACCATCTGGCGAAGCGGATGGACCTAGAGGTGTGCATAGGTGAGGCGACTGGGTACAAAGAACAATGTATCACTTACAGACTCATGCCCCTACTTGATTCGCAGGCCACTTTGATGTCCACAAGAACACGATAATCCGCACCGGGGAATCCCAGGCGATCGGGGGCAAGTACTTACAGGGCCTCGAGCTGGACACCATTGAGGAGTGCGAACGCCTGTGCTGCGAGACGGACGCTTGCGACGTGTACATCTTCGAGCGGAAAGCTGGTGGCTACTGCTACCTGTTCGAGTGCGGTCCGCCAGAGAACTTCCACTGCAAGTTCACGCGGCACGCGAACTACACGAGTGCCGTGCTGACGCCCCAGCCCCAGGCCGCGCCCAGCGACATGGCCAGCACTCCACGACCGCAGCTGCCGCACATTCCCAGCAACAATATCTCGCAGCAGGAGTGGGAGCTCAGCAACCTCAAGCTTAAGCCGGAAGCGCGGGACAAGCCAACAGTATCCACGTCTGCGGCTGCGGCTGCAGCTGCCTCTGCCCCCACGTCAGGTGTGGCTCAGCCGGTGGGGACCCCGGTCCAAAGCGGTTCGTTGCGGATGAATTTTCTCGTAGCAGTGCAAATAAGAGACTGTCGAACATTTTCCCATTCTAGCTCCCATCAACCAGTGTGGTCGCTTCCAGTTCACTTGCCACTCGGGCGAATGCATCGCTGTCTACAACGCCTGCGACGGCATACCCCAATGCGAAGATGGCAGCGACGAGGGACCTGAAGTAAGTCACCAGTCCCTCCCATAACTGCTTCCCTTGCCCTTTCACCGGAATATGTTGATTTTCATCAGTGCATTACCATTTCGTCACCGGGCACCAAGCCCCCGAGCAGCAACCTGGAACAGGCCAAGCCCATGGTCCAGCAATATCTACCTGTTCCGCCCATACAGCGGCAGTTGCAGGTTCCAGCTCAGCAATCGCAGTCGCAGACACAGACACAACCGCAAGTGCTATCACCGCAGCAGCAACATGTTATAGTTCTGGGCCCACCGCCGCCACCCCCACCGATGGTTAACAATCGCGAGGATGCTGCCGCTTGGGCCAATCGCAAGATATTAGCCGATGGGCAGCAACCCCTGCCCCAGCAACAGCAACAAATCCATCTGGCACAACCACAGGGAGAGTTGTCGAATGCTGGTAAATATATGTACATATGTAGATACTATAGTATACTCGTAGGTAGATACGTAGTAAGGGGGGAAAAAAATACTTTTCATCTCTACCCAGAAAAAAAAGAAGAACTAATACCACATCATTCAGATAATATTTAACCCAATGAACATTATCGAAGGAAGTGCCATACTTATAGTTTAGATATCAAATGTCTGAAGGACATGAATTTTCTTTTATATCATGAATCAGACCAATTCTGCTATTGAGTTTAGAACAAAGTTAGCTCGCGATCATGTATGCAATCGTTTTTCCACAATTGTAATACATTTGGCGAAAAAGATACTCAAATAAACTGTACTGACTAACTGATTTCCCACTGGGGGGCTTACTATCTAAGCGAGGAAAATATACCTACTAATGTCTGATTAAAGTTGATAACGCAGTAACAGTAAATGATACAATATCAATCCTACTTTTCAAGCCCTTTAAAGTTGGTAGTAATCGAATTATTTCAAACACTGTGACGTTGCGGCACAAGTTCGATTTATCTCTACCTACGCTTTCTCCCAAAAGTCGCTTCAGTGGGGTTCTGATTCAGATTCATTTAACCAGTAAATCAGTTGAATATTAAATACCATATTTTGTGGGTCTTATCTGTACTGGTCTCATTGCAAATAAATAAAAATCCACAACTACTCTGCTAATAATTTAAAATTTCAATTGCGAAAATATAAGCAAAAACGAGACTAATACAAATAATAATTAAATAAACGTTTAGAAACGATGTAAGCCGTGTCGGGTTATGAACATGCAGAATGGGGGAAGGGCGACTCGTGTGACATTAGCACACAACCGTAAATTGACTACAAGGCACACAATGATCTCTTGCACGACCAGCCAGTTCACCATCCTCCGCTCTGGACGCGTTGGGTTTCTTCTGGGAAAATTGCAACATCGGTTTCCATTGTGTGTAATGGGAGCTGGCGTCGCTCAAAATTAATTTACGAGTTTGTCTGTGTTTCTGCGTCCAGTCTTAATTAATTCAATTAGCTGTGCGTTAGCCGGAGACACACTCTGTACTTCCTTGAAACGATTCCACTTTCTTGCAGATGAGCAGAGCCACATATTCAGCCACAAGGGCGGGCTCCAATTGCAGCAGGTGGCAAGTGGCCAGGGACAGGGACAGGGAACGGGACTGGGGCAGGTTCAGGGGCACTCAGCACAGCTCCAATTGCCCGGCTACGACAATAATCAAGCTATTGCGGCTGGCTCTTTATATGGGATGTCACTGCCACGCTCTGGAATGTATTTGTCCCCACCGCAGCAACAGCAACTGCCACAGCAACCATCCTCTGCCCAGCAGGTTCAGCAGCAAAATGCGATATGGCCTCAAGTGCAGGCGCAACCAGCTCCAATGGCACCTCAAAAACAAAGCCAAGTCTACGTGTCAGCTCCACATATGCCGGCCCAACAGCAGGCTATGCTGCCTGTTCTGAATGCAGCGCCCACACATGGCAAGAACCAGGGAGCGGGAGCTGACGAGGACTATGATGATTACGAGGAGGAAAAGTCCACAGAAGCTCCAAAGAAGGTGAAAACACTGTAATTTTGTTACCTTTCCTGAACTAACTAACGTTTCGCTTCGTTCACAGAAGCAACGAAAGCACAAGAAGGTAAAGTCAAAGACCGCCAAGGACCCCATAGAGTTGGCCCTCGAGCAGACTCAACAGCTGCAGCAGCAGGAAGTACCTGCTCTGCCCGTTCCTGCTTCGCCTGTGCATGAGCAATACAAGATGATCCACGAGAACCTGGCCCTGGAGTTTCGCGATCACGATGGTCACTCGGAGCGTCCTGGTGGAGCTGTGCTTTCCTTAACGTTCGGTCTGCTCGTGACTGCCGCCCTGGCCATTCTCATCGGCTGCCGGATGCGGACAGTGGGCCGAAGGGCTCGACGTTTGGGCGGCAAGACACCTTACTCCCAGGAGGCGGATTTCCTGGTCAACGGAATGTACCTCTAAGGACTGCAATATAGGCCAGGGGCGGGAATTGCAAAGAATATTTGAGTTGTTCCATAGACTTGCACTGATCTTAGTGCGGGGGAACGTGTCGGTACATATATTTATGAGTAGTACTGTAATGAGAAACATATTTTATATAAACAAATGTACGAGTATATCAAATAAAAGTAAACTTAAAGTAAAATTGTTTCTCTCTTTTTAGCATGTTTTTTCTTTTACACATAATACAATACTACATGTGTACAAAACTGGATATTGAATATCCATAACACATTTTCAGATTTAGCTATTAGCTTAGAAAAAAACCCGTTGCATATGTTCAATTTTTCATATAATTTCCTTTATTCTGTTTTTTATTAAGTTATTTTTTCATCCTCATTGTCGTTTTGTTTACTATTGTATTTACGCAAAAAACCTAAAATTTTTATTTTATTATTATACTTTAATGTTCAGTTTTTTTCATTAATTCTTTGACTCTTCTGATTGGTCATTAAAACTACAAAATAATAGGAAGTTGGTTTGTCTGTTTCTATATATTTTTCGTTTTCTTGTTGCTATATAAATCAGCTGCTAATCATTCTTGTATTTGCTTTTGTTCTAAGTTTAAAGTACCGCGCAGAAATTACAGTTGTCGCGGCAGCTCAAAAACCTAGTGTTAAGTCTCTCATATTACTGGAAAACAGTTGGCCAAAGAACAAATATAATACGCTTACAAATATCACATTAAAAATTAAACCGAATTGAGTTTTTTTTATATAAATAACAAAAATTGTATTATTTTCTTTTGGAATTTGGAAAAGTTGTCTTAAATTTTGTATACATGATCGTTTTTTTGTTTATTAGTCTTTTATCGTTGAGAATTTCCTTTGTTGAGGCCGTTTTGCGATTAAAAGAGGCTACAGAGTTTGCTGACCTGACCTGAAGTTGATTTTTCCCCATATGTATAATGCATTAAAATACGCTTTCCTATTACTTGTATTTAGCTCCTTTTCACTTAACACTGTACACATATAAAGTAGACTAATTGTATTTATATTTATGCAGTTGAATGACAGTGCATGCAGTGTGTATTTTGGATGAAATTTATGTTTTTGCTTCATTTTGTGTTTCGTTTGCTAAGCGACCTAGAAACCATAAGTCAAAAAAAATACAACATGAGAAAACTCCAAATGTTTTTACAACTTGTAGGCTTAAAGGAATCGACTATTTCTGGCTGTTGGCGGTTGCTGTTTGAGTTACACGATCGTGTTGTATGGTAATTGTTACTGTTACTGTTAATTTAGGTTTAGTGTTTAGAATAGTTTAATATATATTTATAAAATAGAGTTTCTCCTTATAAAGATGCGAATTTTCATTTTTGTGGTTGCAATTTTCGGTTTGTGGTACAAGTGTTTTGCAAAAACTTACGCATCATGTTGCGTACCTGAATAAAGAACGTATTAGTATTTTAGTCTCGCACTGAATATCATGAACCTACCGCTTTGTCCAGAGACGCGCAATTCGATCGTGTTCTTCTCGATTCTGCAAGTATTGCGTGGCAATGCTGCCCACCAGTGGATCAGCTAAACGGAAGAAAAAACAGAGTCACGTAGTGAAGCTGGGTGCGATTTTCTTTAGGTACGAGTGGTTCTTTACCTGGATTACAGTCTGTAAGCAGGGAACAAATTGACAGCAACACCTTGGATATGGTCAACGCTGGCGACCAGTTGTCCTTCAGTATGTCCAGGCATATGACGCCTTGGCTATTGATATTGCAGTGATAGATGCGTGTGCGAAATGTGACTTTGGGCGGCTTGAACGGGTATTCCGGCGAGAAGTGTATGTCGAGGAAGAAGACGCCGCCTTCGTACACGGAACCAGGCGGACCTAGGATAGTGGACACCCATTCGTACAAGTTATCCCCCTTCGGTCCAGCACTGCAGTTCGGTGGGGGATCCAGTGTAATCTCGGCCAACTCCTTCTGTATGCGCTTGGCCGAGGTTCCCAGCGCCTTCGATATCCGAGGCGTCGGCTTGGCATCTTTGCGTGGCTCGTCATTGCCGCCGGAGCTGCTGCCCGAGGCTCCTCCATTGGCATTGGAGCCTCTTCCACCGCGGGCCGGCGCTGTTCCGGTGGATGTGGGTTGACTGTTGGCAGTGCTGGCTGTGCTGGAGGCGTTGGAATTAGAGCTGGCGCTCGAGGTGGCCACTTCTGCGGCTGCGGCCGCTGCTGGAGTTGAAGACATGTCTGGGAGTCGAGACTGTCAGGCTGAAAGGAGAGGGAGAGAATGAGACGTGAGAGCGGTAGGGCCTTGACCCGATATCTCTCGATATCTAGGGAGTCTCGAAGCGTGTGGCGACATGCTTTGAAGACTAAAATTCTCAAAATCATCAGCCTGATTCGATATCAAACCGAACACAGTTTTTGTTTAATATTAATCAACGCAGCGAAGCGGCCATTTTGGCAAACTCGGCTGTGCCTGATACGCGGCCCTTACAGCGGCAAGTGGGAGTACTTTGTCTAAAAAATGCAAAGGCTGCCCACTTAAGAAAAAATGTGCAAGAGTTTCCAGTTGGCCTGGCATTTTCGGCGAATTTCATGGCGCAGTAAAAATCAATCAGCAGACATTTGCAAAACGCGGTGCCGCCGCTGCCACCCCGACGTCTGAGCCGCCGCATGCAGCATGATTGCACAATTTTATTATTTGTTCTAACGATCAACGAGGAGGCTTTTACTGAACCATAAATAATACACACCTCACTATAACAATTTCTTTCACTTTTTTCTTTAGCGACAGCGACACTTGCAAAAAAGATTTTTCTTGCCCCTGTCGCTTGACCTGCCGCCTGCTCCCTCGCACTCAAACACTCTTTCCTGCGCTTTGGGTGAGCAAACCTTACGGGGTCTTTGGCCGGTTCGTTCACGTTAATCTCGGTCGACTTTACACTCTTTGCTTTTGTTTGCTGCTTTTGTTTAGTAAAAAATACTTCTTAAATATATGAATGATTAAGACGCTGGGTCGTATCGATAAGTTCGCTGAGAAATATACCGAAATATCCATGTTGCGAAACTCATGAGCGTTATCGATAGATCCTAAAAAAATCAGCTGTTTTTTTTTTGTAAATTCTCTCAAATCCAAAAATCATAAAAGGTTTTTCACGTTCTTTTTCTATTTTGTTTTCCACTCACTCAAACATACATACGAGCACATTGATGCATTGAGACATATGTGTATACAATACGGAATAAAGAAACGTAAATAAGCGGCAACCCTCAGATATATACCTGCTCATTTTGCAAATATACCGTAAATATACCGAGGAAAAAATTTTACTGTTTGTAAATTCTTCTTGTGGCCGGTGAAAATCCTCCAGCTGAACCTTCGGGCCTAGTATGGAGCGGACAGACAGTCATACACGGGTTGGGATGTCAACCCAAACGTCGGTGGAAAGCGTGGCTGCTACTACCGGCGGGCACGTGGAGGAGCAATCCTCTCTGCGTGTCGCCAGCGGTCACACCTCTGATATGGCGGGAACAGGTCATATCAGTTGCAATGCTACTGCCACAAAGACTCACTCCAAGCTGAGCCACACGGGTGCCGTAGTCGTCACAGACTCGGACCTGGAGAGCGTGCTCTCGGCCAGCAGGATGCCGGAAGATACCCTTCTTCGCTCGCTTGAACCAGGTACCAGCTCCTTGCGTAGGGAAGGGCCGAAGCGTTCCAAGGAGGGGATGAAGGCTAAAGCCCAATACAAGGCAGCCCTTAAAATCCAAAAGCGGCTCCAAGGCAGAGAGGACATCACCAAAGAGGAGAAGTCCAAACTAGCCTGGGCTGAGCAGAAGGTAGAAGAGGGTCGTCTGCACTTCGCGCAGATGCCGCAAATGAAGGCGTCGAACGGCGGATTTGCCAACAAGGTGGAGGAGATGCTCGCCACCAAAAGGCAACGTTCGACCGAGAGCGCCATAAAAGACACTCCGGCGAGCAAGCGGCAACGCTGTACCAAGGATGCGGGACCTCCACCCAAAACGGCGAAGAAGCCTAACCATAAGGCGAAGGTCAACGAGGTGTCCAAACGACACTTGATCGTGGCACTCATCGACCGGAGCGACGAAAACGGCAAGATGACGGCGGCGCGCTGGAAGATGGTGCACGCGCGGCTCGTGGAATCGCTGTTTGCACGAATGGAGAAGGACCCAACAGCCCACATGCCTACGTTCGATGGTGCTGGGTGGCTGAACGGAGTCAAAATACTGAAATGTATGGACGACCCCACACTCAAGTGGCTGAAGCAAACGGTCTGCCAATTGGAAGCGATGTGGGAGGGGGCCAAACTGGAGGTGGTGGACAGGGAGCTAATCCCCTCCATACCAAAGGCGAAGGTACTCTTCCCCATCGCAATCCAAGGGGACCGTGCGCTTAAGCTCTTACAGCGGCAGAACCCGGACGTGCCAACGGCGAATTGGAGGATCCTGCACATTGCGAGCCCTCTACCCAACGAGGGAGGCCAATGTGCGATCCTCCAAATCAGCAAGCAGGCAGAGGACCTGCTGTACCCGAGATTTGGGAAGATGGCGTGGGGCATGGGAAGCGTCTACGTGCGCCTCAAGAAGCGCCACCCCGAAGACAAGGACGCACACACCCTGCTGGCAGGCGAGGTGGAGAAGGACCTCGGTTTGGATACCATCGTAGAGGCCGGCCATGGTCTGGACGACTCGGAAGAGGACGGTGACCTGACAGTAATAGTCAAGCCGTCGAGTAATGTTGAGCCAGCCACCCATGACAATGAGGCTCAATCTTCATAAAAACAAAGTCGCGTCGACGTAGGTCCGTAACGATCGGTAAGAAGGAACAGAACCGCCGCACTTGTACGAAAGGGTATCCATACTTACGTTATGTCTCATTACAGCACTGATGACCTGACTGCGGTGATCCTTGAAAGCGAGGACAAGCGCCTCATGTTAGCGTCCTGCTACATGTCACACGACAGGCCAGCTTCACCAGAAGAGCTAAGGAGTCTGGTGGCGGAAGACAGCCCCAAAGACCAGCAACTTCTAACTGCTACCCTATCCTGGATCTGCACAACAGGAACAATATAGGGAAACTGAAGTCGACCAACCAGCATGCCTATGCCAAAGGGAAATCGGTGGAGACGGTACTGCATTCGCTAGTAACATCATTGAGAGAGCCCTTCACAATAAAAAGTATGCTCTAAGCGTGTTTGTATGTGTTTCAACAACGTGAATACGAACGCTATAATGGATACGCATCCTGCAGTCAACCTCTGGATAAAGAACTTTCTAAGTTGTAGAAGGGTGCAATCAGCGTGGGTCACCGCTTTCATGTTGAGGGGGGTGCATAGAGGCACACCTCAAGGTGGGCCCTATCGCCCCTCCTTTGGAATTTAGTGGTCGACGACCTAATTAAGAGATTCGAGAGGAGAGCCCCAAAAAGAATGGCTTATGCGGACGATATAAGCATAATTATTACGGGAGTATGTCCCTCGACCCTCAACTCCATAATGCAATCAACACTCAGGGAGATATGTAAGTGGGCGGAAAAGTAGGACTCAGTATCAACGCGGACAAGACGGACCTCATCCTCTTTACCAAGAGATACAAGGTACCGGCATGGACCCCCCAAAAATTCATAAAACCAGGCTGACCCCAAAAGCACAAGTCAAATACCTCGACATAGTATTGGACAGCAAGCTGGCATGGACAGACGGACAGACAGACATGGCTATATAGACTCGGCTATTGATGCTGATCAAGAATATATATATTTTATAAGGTCGGAAACGTTTCCTCTGTGCCTTACACACATCCACTTTTACCACAAATCTAATATACCCCTTAACTCTTTTTAAGTACGGGTATAAAAAGTCAACAAAAAAGCATAAAATGTATGTGGGAATGAAATGTTGCATTTGACCACTTGTTGCTTGTCAACCGGTATTCTGGACATTTGCATAACAAATTTCCATTAAATCAGGTTTAAAATCAGTTTTCCAAGCTGCTTTAAAATATTAGTAATGAGATGATGGCCATCTCCAGATGTAAACATTACCGTAAGTCGAGCCAAACTATCGTTGCCCTGACGATAGGGAATATTTATTTTAAACTTATTTATGTTGTGTTTATAAATTTTGTATGAAAAACATTAGGGGTGGTGTTGTAAATGCGACTACTTTGTGTCCATATTTTCTACTAATGCCTTGCGCGATTTAAACACACGTACCGTGTTGTCAGATCCACCAGATACTATATACTTTGGGTTAGACCAGTCTATGTCCAATACCTTCTCTCCATGGCCCAGCAGATCGTAGAGAGGAGCCTTTGGGCTCCTACAATCCCACAGCTTGTTTTGATTGTCATAGGAGCCAGATACGAAGAGGAATTCTTCTGTAGTTGACCACATAACGGTCTGGACCCAGGCGTTGTGGCCCAGGTAGGTGTTTCGCACAACAGATCCCTCTGTAAAGAAAATCACATTGATTACAATTTTTTTTTTTATATGTAGTCAGTTCCTACGGTTTGTTCTAGAATCGTACAGTCGCAGATTCTTGTCCGCCGAAGCAGTCACAATGAGGTGGTTTAGTTTTGAGTAACTCGCATCGAAGATTGACTTGTTAGTGGATATCTCGGCCTTAATGCCTTCCAGGCTCAGGTCCCACACCTTGAGTGTGTGATCCCAACTGCCTGTGAGCAGTGTGCTGGCATCTATCCACTGCACTGCAGAGATGCTTTCGCGATGTCCCTGAAGAGTCATTTTTGGGGTCTGCGAAATAAATGCGTTAGTGATGATTTTAGTTTTGAATTTGTATAGTGGAATTACCCTAACTCCGCTCTCCTTCATGCGCTTCGATGTTCCTTCTCCTGCATCTTCCAGCTCAGCTGACCACACTTTCAGCATGGTGTCCCACGACCCTGTCGCAAATCGCTGGCCATCTGGACTAACACTAACGCTATCAACGCCCCTCTCGTGACCCTTACACACAGAAACACATTCAACAGTATTGGCGCCAACATTCCACTGCCACAACATGGCTGTTTGATCCTGTGAGCTAGAGACAAAGCGACCTGTGTCGTCATCCAGCGTAATCCAGTCCACAGCTTTGATTGGAGCCGTGTGACCAGGTATGGTGAGAATATGCTTTCCCTTGTTGGTCCATATGTTCAAAGTGTTGTCATAACATCCCGTCAATATCCACTTGCCAGAAGCCTCCACCGCCGATACCCAGTCGTCGTGAAGCAAGCAGTCTTGTGGCTCCGGGGCGGGGAAGCGCTCCACATACTCAATCTCTATGGCATCCTCAAAGCTAATGGCCTTCTCCCGTAAATGGTCACACAATCGGCCTCTCAGGTACTCATCGAAGACCAGGAAATCAAAGTCCACGGCAGAGCTTCCCTTGCTCAGCAGCAAGGCATTCACGAATGTGTTCAGTTCCGCGGTAGCGACTGTTCCATCGATGGCATAGGGAACGTCTGGCACTGCATAGCTGGAAAGGGACTTTTGAATTCATTTTTTTCGTTCAATCTGCGACTCTTACTGTTCTTGTTTGGTTTTGAGGTGAACTTGCACCTGCCCCTCGCCGTTGTCAACATCCATCTCCGTGCCCACGTGCGTTTGCGAAGGCGGGACTCAAACTTTACTTCTTTGCGGGTGTGCTACAACTTTAGTTCTGAGTATTTACTTATTCGGGAGAACGGGGATTCAGCACACTATGTCTGGACATTAGCTTATTCAATTGTTAAGTAAGGGATTTTTAGTTTATATCCAAAATAAATTTTTAAGAAAGCAGCAAGCAGCGCGACAAATATTGCAAGCAGTGTGACCGCGGATCAAATATACCGCCTCGGTCCTCAGAGATATACCGAAATATACCTTCTCATTTGCAAAATATACCGTAAATATATCGAGAAAATAACCGGACTAATAGCCTTTTTAAACTGCCACATCATTGTCGAAGGTGCGGAAAAATGATGCGAGGCGCTTATACCAAAGCCACATCTTTTTTCGCATCATTTTTCAGCTTTGTTGTTAATGTTTGATGCGACGAAAACAGCTGTTTGCTATCGATACCCCGAACAATCGCAAATTGTAAAAATACTAGACAGAATACGGCAACACTTGCCAATGATGCGCAGCATGATTTAAGATGCGCCGTATCATTGGGCGCGTTCACCAGGACAACTTGATCAGCGATTAGTGATTGATCTCATCCATCATGTTTTGAGTTCTTGTAAACGCGTATGATCCATACTTTACTATCGCGACGTTGCCAATACAATCGGCTCAGAACCTATCAACATTCCATTTAACGGAAAATCCAATGACTATAACACTATATAAACACTTTGACTTAAACCACTAACGATACAGATACAGAATATAGATGTGCCAAATGTCTGTGTTCTCGTGTTACACACAAAATATATGATTGTATGCTTTTTTTTTTTTTTAGCGCTGAATCGTTTTGAATTCTGTTTTCATTTTGTCCTCTGAGTTCACATACCCTTTACCTTAGAATTTTCCTTTGTTTTATAAAACTTTTTTAGAAGCTTGACCCACAATATCAAAATGCACAAAAAATGAATAAGCGGATATGCTAACGGATGTTTTTATACAAATAATGTACATATGTATGTATATCAAAATTTACCTTACATGACCTTACAAAACAGACCTATTTTTGTTCTTTGCATTCACTCAGAAGTCGAGAAATGGACAAAAATGGACAACTGATTTCAAATTTGAAGCAGAAGTATGACCCTAACATCTGTTTAGACAGATATTGTACCTCAGCCTTTAATGATACATCATAAAATATATACATTTGTACACAATAATATATTATATTATGTTATATTATAGTATGTGGTTAGTGTCTGTAATAATCGTAAACTCAATTTCGACATCAAAATAAAAGAAGATATACAAGAAAAGAGTACCGTAAACGCTCAACCTGGTTGCAAGAAACGCTAGAAAATACCAAAACGAACCATCGCGCATGTTTCTATCGATATATTTTTTGCAAAATATTATCTGTTAAAACAAATTTAAATCTTTTTGTCAAAAAAGATATGGGAAGACTATGTAAATATGTATGTAAATGAACCCATTCTTCTGTACTAATTTTTTAAACTAGGGGTTATATGGTCCACTCCTATGTGTGAGCTGTTAGCTCCTGTGAGCATCAGAAAAACCAGAAACGAAACGAAACAAAAAACGAAATATGGCGAATTCAAAAATATATTAATTATACACATTTTGCTGAGGTGCTGAGGATTTTCTGCATGTTTTATTCTCAATCACTCTTTTGGAAGTATGTACTGTACATGCATATTTCGCAAAATGTGGAAAACGAGAAAAAAAAATAAAAAAGACGTCCAACCATGCCAGCAATGTGTAATCGACTCTTCACATATAAAAGACTGGTAATTGTACATATTTTTATTCAAGCTATTAATATGAACCAGATAGCACCTGAAAGACCACTTCGCGGTTAAGTGTTCACTGGAAGGTTAAATGCCTCTTGACATTTCTGAAGTGGCGCTCAACCTTCGCATTAAATTTGGTCAAATGCCCAAGAAAAATTTCCAATAAAAAATATTCATGTACATATCACTTTATGGGTCGGTGGGATATGGAATTGACTGGAAGTAAATTTACTTTTTATGTTGTTTTTTCCTGTGAGCTTCAGAAAAACCAGAAACGAAACGAAACAAAAAGAAAGAGTTAAAGCTTTCCAGGCTTTGGGGTCTTCCAGCGTTGGAGCTCAGCTTATAAAACAAGCCCGCCGCCTGCGCAGCCGAAACATTACAAGAAACGACACGCGCAAGGTAAGACAGGGTCTTGAAATTAGTAAGAAACAAAATTTATTAAAACATTCGTAAAAATAAATCTACGTGAATGTTTAAAGATTGAATGAATCTTAAAATTGTGCATCTCTTGCAGTTTATATATCCTCAACAAAAATGAAAGTGTTCGCGCTGTGTTCGATGCTTGCCCTGCTCCTAGCAGGCGCTCAAGCCCTGCCCCAGAGCCGCGAGGGGGCCGCCTACACAAACGAAGCCATACGGCAGGCACAGCAAACCCTTCTCATACCCAAGGACGCCCAAATACAGAACGTCCAGGAGGGCATTGAGCTGGGTGCCTACGAGCAGATACCTGGCAACCAGCGCATCAATCTCTTTGAGATCCTGGGCGACCAGGTGCCTTCCGAAGTGATCAACAATCTGCAGGCCCAAGTCGATCAGATTGGGCGCAATTAAGATGTAAGACTTTATTTGTTAGATCATTTCCATTTCGCATCTTTTGTTAAGTTTCCCAATAATAAAAAAACAAAAATGAATGTAACTTAATCAAAGCAATTTATCTTCTCCTCTACCAAAGCGAAAGTAATCCTCCCCAAACCAGTTGTTTCCTCTCTCCCGACCAAAATTTTGATCGGTCGGTCTGATGTGATTTATTTCTTTTTTGTAACTTTTTCCTAATGCTCTTCGCTGACTTTCTCCTCGCTTATCCCGGTGCGCATATAAATTAACAATAACATCGCTTCCACCAGCTGGTGTCCGTATGCTGTTGTCAGTGGGTAATCCGAGTCCCAACGGCAGCTTTGCTGCGCTGCCACTGCCGTGATGCAACAGTTGTCGTCGTGTTTGTGGTCTTCGTTGTTTTCTCTGGCTTCGTTTTGTTTATTTAATTTCTGGGTAATTGCCGCCTCATGCTCTTGCATGTGTAATGAGGGATCCGAGAGGGCGTGGCTGATGCTGCTTATGCAATCGTTGGGTTACGCTCGCTTTCTACTTCTAAGTATCTTAAATTGTGGTGTACGAGTACCTTTCAAGAGAACAAAATGAATATTTAGCTTTCATAGGAGAAAACCTAAGAGGATCTTTTATAAAAGACGCCAATATCCGAGGAAGTTGAAGGGCTGATTAGTTGCTAACACTCCCAACAAAAAAATGTGTAATAAAATTCTGTAACTTAAAAAAAAAAAAATAAACGACGTCGATGGGTACTGATTACAACAAATATACGTATGTACAATCGTGTAACGGTATCATCGAATTATATTACCTTTCCCATGGTCCTTAAGACTCGCTAAAGTCCCGTCCGTTTCAAGCGGCTTAAATAAAGCTTTTCGAAAAAGTTAAGATTTCTCACTTTATCCGTAGATCAAGCTGCCAAACGGATATGCACTCATGTATGTATGTAGATTTATGAATGAACCGTATTTATTATCATTATTTATTTTCTCGTTTATTTTTTTTGTATAATTCATACATTTGAAAACGGACTTGAAACTAAATTTACACTAGTTAAAGTATTTCTATAATATGGTTTACTGTATCTCAAAAAACTGTGTGTGTGTGTGTGTGTGTGTGTGGGATCATCGCTTAAATAAGTTATATTTAAATGTATATGTACGTAAGTATGTAGATATGTAGGACTAAATAAAAAATGACTGAATTATCATTTTGACACTTTGCTTTCTCGTTAGTTTAAAGTTATTATTATTATAGTTTTTAAATTCAGGCGAGCGTTGGAAACGAACTCTAAAATTTCCAGATGTCATGCCAAGTTTAAATTAATTAAATTCTGTGGGTATATAAATTATGGTTAAAGTAGGTGTACATGTAAGTTGCTGTAAATTAAAACCTTTTCATATTCAGTCTAAACTTAAAAGCTTTTCAAATCGAAGAGGACTATCTAATTTGCCTTTGCATTTTAAAATAAATCACCTTTAGAGCAAATAAATCACATCATTCGGCTTTCCGTTTTTAAATCATTTCCATAATTTCGTTAAGAAATAAGTTACAAATTAAATAAATTCAGGATGAGATAAAACAAGTTAAAAATTGCGACTTATGCGATGAATTTCGATTGTGGGCGTGGTGCTAATGATTGAATGCTTATGTGCACTTAGGCTGTACGTATAAATAAGAGATACTCATATATCTTAGCGATACCTGTTCGTATTGCTTTCCTTTGCGCATCGAGTTCTAAACCAATAGAGAGACATTAATTTATTGCATTTGGAGAGCCCAGCTTTGCTAATCGTAAGATATTGTTTTATGTTTTTAATGTTGATAGATTCAGATGGTGTATGTTCATTATCATTACACACGTTTTATGCAGTCTATGGATATTGTAGCTTCCAGAAGAACTCTTTTTCTCCCTACTCCCTTTCTGACTACTTAGACCTAACACTCGATCACTTCAATAGTTGGATTTTCGTTGTTTCCAAGATACTAGGCATATACAAATATACGTATATACAAAAGGTTTGTTTTTCGGTTCAGTTCAGACCCCGCTAGGTGCTGTTCAGTAGATCCGCTGAAGGTAGAGCCGTCCCAGGGGCAGTGCCCGCTCCACTAAGCTTTTTTCGGCACGCGCCGACTCTTTGTCTACTGAGGTCGTCTTGGCTATAGTCTCTTGGCTCTCGTCGAACTTGAGGCTCTCGGCATCGGCCTTGGGATCCAAACCGCCCGATGTCTGTAGCTGGCCTGCACCGGAGCCCAGCTCGTCGATGTCCAAGCCAGTGATTGGAATGGATCGCGGTGTGGTGGGTTCTTTGATTTCCCCACTACTGCTACCGGAGCCTCTTCCCATCACTCCCCCCAGAGTTTCCAGCTCTTCGCTTGTCTCACTCTCTTTCTGCCTGCGGCCAATATTCTCCAGTAGCAAATCACTCGCGTTCTGAATGCGCGTTTCCCCAGAATTGTCCTCTGCACTGTACATCAGGAGGGGCACCATCGAGCTACTCCCCTTGCTGAAGGGGGCAGTCATCAGACCGTGGTCGGGTGTCGAAGATCCCTCGGGATACGTCTCCATGTCCCCACTGCCACTTCCGCTTCCACTGCCATCCACAGCTGACTCTTGCACCACTTTAGTGTGTTTGTTGACCGCTTCGAAGGGACTCGGTATACTCCTCGGCTCGTCCTTGGTGTAAGAATCTACTGCATCCTCCAGGTCAACCAAGGGAAAGTTCACGTCTCGCAAGCTGAAATCGTCTTCTGGCAGCGAGGGGTACGCCGGATTGGACTCGACTTGTGGCACATCCTCATCCGTATCCATGTGTTGGGTGGAGCTTATGAGAGGCATCTCACTGCTACTACCGGGGCCCTCCGTACTCATTTCCGTCTCTGGTTTGGCGCTGGTGCTGTTATTCCCGGTGATGGTGATGGTTCCTGGCATTGGTGAGTTCGAATCCGTCCTTGCGATAATCCCAGAGCTTGGACCTTCAGTGGTGGAGATTATGTGGTAGATGTTGTCACTGCCCGCTGTGTCCGGCTCCAGTTCCCCGTCGGGTATCTCAGCCAAGGCATCGCCAAAGCCATTTTGTATAAACACGGACTCCGCACGACCAGCTCCAGATTCTTCGTATCCTTGGGTACTCGGCGTGGCCCTCTCTGTGGTAAACTCCCGTTTAAAGCTGACCTTGCTGGGATCGTTTTGGGCGAGTGGCATAAGGCCATCGGCATTGTAGCTGACGAGCGGCTTTATATTCTGCTCCACGTCGTTGCCATTCTGGGCATGAGGTCGCTCTATGTAACCCACCGAGGCGGCAACAAGCTTTAAGCTCTCGCTGCTGGAAGTGCCTGGAAGTGCTTTCGGGGTTGTGTCTTGGCTAAGCGGCACCAACTCTCTCAACGTCGTTGGTGTTGTCGCGGCGTCAGTGGATATCACGACAGTTGTTGGTGTTGGTGTTGGTGCGTTTGCGGATATGTTGCTTCAGTTGTCGTTGATGTTTCTGTTGCTTGTGTTGTTGTTGTTGTTGCTGCTGCTGTTGGTGTTGCTGCTGCTGTTGGTGTTGCTGTTGTACTCGCAACGGAACTCGCCATTGTTGCTGATGGCAGTGCTCCCTCGGTGGTAAGCACTGTACCTGTACCTGTACCGACCGACTTTCTGGTAGGAACAGCCGGCTTAGCCTTGCTATCGTCGGTAATCCGAATCTCAGATGGCTTGGTGATCTCCTTGATGGTAATGTTCCAGTTGAAGCCAGCGGACGGAGCCATGACCGCCGGCTTCTGGGTGGACGTGGTTGTGCTGCTCGTCTCGCTGGACAACGGCGGATTGTTGTCCAGAACTGTGGATGGGGTGTGGAATGATTGGATTAGTCTCGAACTCAATGAAGGCCTCATAGTGTGGAACTCACTCGGACAATTGTCGTACTCGGGGCAGCAGCGGCCGGGCACGTATTTGGGCAAGCAGTCGTCCCGCCGGAAACAGGTCACTGAGCTGCAAACGATTTCGCCGCCTGTAACAAATGGAGTGTGATTGTTACAAATTCTGGAAAATGTCGGTACTTAAACTATGAGATGTGTAACCAACATCAGCCACTTCATATTTCGATATAATATTTACATTACATTATGATCCGATCTGATTCAGATACGGACAGATGGACAGACGGACATGGCTATATCGACTCTGCTATTGATGCTGATCAAGTATATCTTCTTGAAATACTTTATGGGGTCGGAAAATTGCCTTCTCTGCGTTGCACACATCCACTTTTACCACAAATACAATATAGCCCTTAACTCTTTTTGAGTACGGGTATAATTAGCGCCCCTGCCAAATTTCGCTAGGGCACATTGTGGTTGCTTGGATGAGAAATGAGGGGAAGCATTCGTTTGATAAACATTTCGTTTTGCAATACTTTTTTGATATACAATATTATTTTCGTTTCCGCTTCCTACAGAGTTTTCCCGTTTTATGACATCTTTCGTTGATTACACTACTCGACAAAATCGAACTTTTTTTTTCTTCAAGGATCCAAACCGACTTTTTCTGATAGATATGGGACTTTAAATTTTTTTTAAAGAATTATGGTTTTTTTTCTATGGCAAAACCTTTTTTTGAAGCATTTTTGAAAACTTGTATTTTTTGTAAGCTTTTTTCAGAGGTAGCGCTTGGTTTTTCACATAACTCTAGTATTTTACGTCTGGTTCTAAAGAACTTTGCTGTTTTGAAAAGATAATTAAAACAGCTAAAAGTTAAGCCTAAACACTTTATGATTTCAGCTTACCGCCTGGGAAATAAAAAGCATTGAAATGGAAAAATTATGATTTTTGTGCGATTTTTTATACGAAATTTTGACTTTGAAAACTCGGGAAAAGTAAACAAAAATTATATCCTATGTTCTCTATTTTTGTGTGTATAGGTGCTATAATTAGGCGTCGTTTAAGATATTGCTCTTTAAAATCTATGGAGAAACTTTGGAGCTTAAATTCGTTAGCCAAACCTAACAAATGAAAAAAAAGGAACAAAAAATACTTTTTGGGAATTTGTGGGCCCAACTGCCAACCATTTAAGGTATTGTTCATTAAAATCTATGGAGAGACGGTGGACCTAAAATTCGTTAACCAAACCTAAAACATGAAAAAATAGAAAATAGACAAAAAACAGACTTTTTGGAAGGTTGCGGGTCGAACTGCCAATTGGGAACAAAGCAAACGAAAAGGGGATGAATTTTTGGTACCTGAACGTGTTCCTTTGTCATTGGATCAGCAACGTACCGGACAGTATTTTTCAGGTAAAATTAGTTTTGAGTCGTTTTGGTCAAACGGCTGCAAGTTGAACGTTTATCCATAGATTTTAATGAACAATACCTTAAACGACGCTAAATTAATGCGCCTATCTAAAACTATAAATGCTGGCCAATAAATTAAAGTCAAAATTTCGAATAAAATACCGCAAAAAATGATGAAATTTGAAAGCTTAATATTTTCCAGGCGTTAAGCTGCAAGCACAAAGTGTCTCGATCGGATTAATAGCTGCATTTGTCAGCTTTTCAAAGTTGCAAAGTTCTATGCACCCAGATATAAGATTCTTAAGTTATGTGAAAAATAGAAGCACTACCTCTGAAAAAAACTATGAAAAAATTCGAGATTTTAAAAATTCTTTAAAAAAAAGTAAATCATACAAAAAAAAATAAAGTACTACAACAATTTATAAATCCCGAAATCTAGCAGAAAAAATCATTTTGGTTCACAGCGCAAAGAAAAAGTTCAATTTTGTTGAGTAGTGTTATCTGATTATTCAGATACAGATAATAGTTTTTTTGTTAGATGTTGGATTTTTCAACATTAAGTTTCTAACAAGTTTCATGGTACAAGTAAGTCAAGTAATTTATACTCATTTATAATTTGTTTTGAAGGAAGCCTTTCTACCTGGAACTGTCCAATACCAAATCCCGAATCTGAGTTAATGGCAGTGCAATAGCTCTATACCGATGTTTCCCTGGCCCTATGTCTGTCTGAACTTGCCTCGCCTAGCTCTCCCGTAAACTCAATCAACTCACCTTTGCAGTAGCAGACAGTGCATGGGGTATCCGGATCCACCAATTTATAACCATTGGCATAAGTTTTTCCATCCTTTTCGCAATCTGAGCGTGGAAGAGGTGGAAGAGATTTGCATAAATGCATCCGAACGATGCCGGGTGTGGGAGTGTGCCGCAGCTACCACTTACCGCATTTATAATCGGGACAACAGTGGCCGGTCCGCTGGATGGCGCGGCAGCTTGTATGCTTCTCACAGTGCACCGTCGTCTCTGGCACCCATAGCCCGTCCAGCAGGCATTGGCCTATAAACAAGTTGAAGAGGCGGCGCATTGTTTGTCATTTAGTTTGCGAGCAAAAGGTGGATGCGGGGGAGGAATGGAGGACAGATTAGTTTTCGGGACTTACCCTGCGGCTGCTGCTGTTCTGGGGGCGCTTCGGTGGTGATGCTAGTGCTGCCGCTGGCGATGGCGCCGCTTCCGCTGCTCGATCCTGTGGGTGTGATGCTCGGCGTGACCGCGACCATGACGACTGTGGAGGATGCGCTGCTGTTGCTGTTCTCAATGGCAGTCACTGCAAAAAGGAGAGGCACACGAATGGGAAATGAAAGAAAGCGGAAAATCAGCAACCGTAGAGAGAGGGTAAGGTCGAGCGACACTGGAAGAAACAAATCCAGGTGTAAAAAAGGAACAATGAATTTTTAGATTAATTTGTATACAAAAAATCCATAATTTGTTGGAGTAGCCGCACACTGCGCAGTGATTCATTCGAGTTCCAAGTGGTTCATTTCAGAAGCGTTGTGTTTTTTTTTTGAATATAGTGCGGGACACTCTTCTACTTTAATTTCAAAATACAATCGCAAACTGCTGTGAGACTTTTGAAGAGTGTATGCCAACAGGGACCAGGGACCAAGGCCTTTGCCTTTTCCCCCTTGTCAGTCGGTACATATTTGAATGAATGACATTTTGATAACAGTTGTTTGTTGTCCCTGTTGCTGGACCCGTTGTTCTTGCGGGCTGGCAAGGTAAAATGCTATCAAAATACGGCAAAGTTAAATGAGTTTAGTTTTAGTTTGGCTTTTTTGTTTGCTCGGTTGTGGGAGGTCCCATTTGGCTTCCGAGATCCTTCTCGGCGGCCAAGATGAAGTGGCAGCTGCTTTGTCTATTGCAGTTGATTGTCCAGTCGGTGTATAATTCTGATTGACATGCCTTGTACGAGCACAAAAATGTCTTCCATTTGGAGCGTCATCATGTTTAAGGATTCTGGGGGAAGGCAGTATTTGGGCTTGGAGTGTGTATTTTCCATGAAAAATGATTAAACGAATGCGAGCATTAATCATATGCCCTGAGTCTCACTTTTATTGCGGTTGTCTTGCCTATCCCTTACTGCTAGCCCCTCGTGTTGGGGCTCGACCTTCATAAACTGTACGAGCATGTAGCTCCCACGCTAAATTGTTTTTGCTAGCACTCATTAAGGGAACTGCATATGTGGCTGGTTTTTCCCTTTGTCCGCCTGGAGGGGGGATTCTTGTTTAGGATTATTTTCGGACTCTGATGGGACTTCCCTTTAAAATACAGTTTGCGACTTGACCTTCATCGGGTAGGTCAGGTCCCTTGAGGAAGTTTAAAGTATAGACATGTGTATTGACTGTTTTGACTGTTTTAATTATGATCAAGTGTATTTTATACCACATACTAGTACGTTTTGTTTGCTGGTCTACTTCGCTAGGTTTTTAATGATAGTCGCATTCCATGGTGGTCTTTCGTTCCCAGCCATTCTCTCATATCATGGCTGACGGTTCTTTCCGCTTTTTTCCTAGTACCTGCATATCACTTAGCCTGGTGTTCTGCACTCATTTACTGTCTGCGACTTTCATTTAGCCAGCTTGAAAAATATTTGTTGCTTGTTATGCAAGACCCAGGCACACATGGATGAAACTTGAAACGTTGCAATTAGCAGAACAGCTTCCCGCTTTGCGCTCTGTTTTTATTGTGGAACGCAGCGCTAATTCCACGACTTTCCATTGTCTACGGTTCTCCGGGTCTCTGGGTGTCTGGGTCTCGGGTTCGTTTTTGCGGCAACCGCTCTGGCGTGTGTCTCCCTGTATTTTGGATGGCCAACACGTTTTAAATGAACAAAATTATTATTCACATTATGTAGAACTGCCAGACAGAGGGACGAACAAAAGCATTTGGCTGACATTTGCCTCGGACTTAAGTAATACGAATCGCACAGATTACGTGTACGCCACCGAAAGATTTCATTTAAGATTTCGCCACCATCTCTCTCGTTCTGCTCTGCTCTTCTGGTGCTGTGCTTTAACTCCGTGTGTGGCTTCCTTGCGTCTCGGCCGACTGACAGTAACTGTTCGCTGCGAAATCGCATTGTAAATTAGCCACGGATATTTTCTCGAAAGGCAGAAAGTACTTATGCATTATGCAAACTCCCTATAAAAATGTGACGCGATTTGACGCTGCTAAGTTGAGAGATTCATCCTCATAGACTGCTTAGATTTCAAGTGAATGCTGGTTTTATTTTCGTCATGATTAATGATAAAACAATTGCTAGCAATTGGTATATGCAAACATGCCACGTAAAATGACTTTCAGGGACTGCTAAGGAGGCGATTGAGGATGAAAGCGCTTCTTGGGCGTAGAACTGATAGCCCGAAAGTCCATCCATTAAAATCATTACAGTTTGTAGCTCATTTTTTACAGCCACCTCCCTTCGTCTCCAAGGCACCACTGGACCGCACTATTAATAATACTTAACACCATTGATAAATACAGACGGCTATAAATGCCTAAGGCCGGAACCAACAGCAATAACAAATCATCCCAATGACGGGGCCCAGTCCTGTGGAAATTGCGGAAAATTGTCAGCCCAGACGCCCACACTTCATAAACTACTCAACTCTGGCCGACTCTGGGACCAGAAATATTTTCTATCATTATTAGATTTTCACCAAGTGGCTTTTTCCTTGTCTCCCTTGATTCCCTTCCAGCCCAATGCATTGGTAAGCAGAATTTCCGCTGTGCGGTTAAGTCTTTGGCGGGAGTCGGTGTGCGGCCGACTCCCTTCATTTTCTTAAGCAGTTTGCGGTTAGTTAGACAGAAAATGGCTGGTTTGACAGAGCCTGCTGTGCTCTATTCGGGGAGAAGTAATAAAGAAATTTCCGGGCTCATAAATTGTAAGTGTAATTGCAATTTCATCGGGACAAGAAGTGACGCAGCAGCACGAGTTTTTGAAGTTTGTGAACTGTGAAATCATCGGAGAAGAAACTAAAAAAGGCAATATATAATATGATATATTATGAAAAACCCGCAGGGAACTGAAACGGGAAAAATTCTGGGAAATGAACACACTCAATTTGAATCCATCGCTGAAACTTCCCGTCTTTTGTTTATTATACTTGTTTATGTAAAAAGCTATTTTTTGGGCGCACGGCAGCAGCCTATACAGCCGTTCTCTTTCGCCTCTTCATGTAGCGCCTTTGTTCTTTGCTTTGCTTTGCCATCGCTCTCTCTAACTGTCGCTCTCTCGCTCGTATTACGGCACGGGCAATTCTGCCCGCCTGCCCTTGAAGTCAGTCTGGAGTCTGGAGTGAGTCTAGCCACTCACTTCTCGCATATCGTAGACCTGATCTTCAATCCGACACAGTCTTGAACCGGCCCCGTGTCTTGAATCGATCAATCGATCCATCCCGAACTCTCTATCAAATCTATCACCTTTCGCTATTTTCGGATACTACATACATATATAATGAACTAAACTACAATAAATTGGGAATAGAAATACTTAACAATCATCGTCTCTTTAATCATCTCGCAAAACAACGCTACTGAAGAAGCTCAGTAGCTCAACAGTAAATATGAGAAAAATTGGCTTATCCCAAAAAAAAAAAAAAAAATACTAAAACGGAGGTGGGACTTCAACTATTAATTTTGATTGAACAACATCTTGCCAGCTATTTTATCATTTCCTACAATCAATGAAATCTATTCCAGAGCCCACATTGACACTTAGAACATGTCGTCATGCTTATAGATAGCATTATGTATCCCCGTGATATTTCCATTGTCTCCACTGAAAATTTAAGCGGAAACCGAGAAATCAGCGGCGCGTAAGTCGGCAGTTGTGAATGCGATTTCAAATTGACGCTTAAATGGCATTCAAACCGAAAGCAAAAACAAAAACAATAAAATACAATCAAAACACAGCTGACAGTGGGACGGGGCGACAGTGGGGCAATCTGACAGACGGACAAATGACTACAAATGAGCTTTTCGAGTGCTCCTCTACTTTTCCCTGGCTTTTGTCTGTGTTGTTGTACCCTTACTTATTTTCGGGCTCGGACGAAAAATGATAAATGAGCTCCGACATGGCAGAGGCACACACTTTTGTCTCAGCAAAAAAATTAAAACAAAAAGCAAACTCATCGCCTCAAAAAACCATAGACAACAAATTATTTGGTTAAATGGCAGGTGATACGAGGCAACGCAAAATATCTGGGAGAAAGAGAGACAGGAAATATGTCAGATTGAACAAAGTTCAATTTGGCTTAAGATTTTTCTTGATAAAACCAATCAATTGAAAATTGTTTTTATGCTCGTGAAGGATACAATTTAAACCAGATCCGATATAAATAAACATATTCTGTGGGAGAACTAGCAAAATACACGGCAATACAAGACAATAAAAAAATATCTATCAATCATGTGCTTAGGAAGTGTTCTGTAATATTCGACTGCTTAGAAGTACTCTCAGAACTCTTTTATTGTTGGCTCAATTTAAATTTCTTTTAAATATGTTTCGCCACTGCAATAATTTTGATACATCAGATCATCACATGAAATGCATTTGTAAGCTTTCGTTCAACATTTATTCTCGAAAAATATCTCATCTTTCGCATTGCTATGCAATTGCCTCTGAAATATCATTGTCATGCCCGGCTGCTTATCAAAGTATCAGTGCAAACGTGTGAAATGCGACAATAAGCTCATGAGTAGCGCTCACCTAACCAATTTACCTCCGGCATGACCACAGTCGCGAACCGAAAGACCGTTTTGTGTGCACTCACTCCATGCACAGGCCCCATGTCCATTTCCAGGCTGGGGATATTTAAATTAATAATGGCGGGGTCTGAGCACTTTGACAAGCTGTCTCTGGGTCGATTCGTCTGGACTGTCATTAGGCGCATTAAAGGCGAAATTAGCCCTCCAACAGATATCTACAGATGCGCACACGGATGGAGTACAACGATACATAGATGGATAGAGATACACTCTGTCAGCACTACGTACCTGCCTAATTGTAGCTATTTGAATAATCATATATACTTGCGAGCTCGTACACAAGTATGCATATATTCGTAGAGAAGGGGGCGACCATTGGTCATTGGCAGATACATGTCACAATGCAAATATTTTACTAATCAAATATGGTACATTCTCGGTAATTACACTGTGCAGCAGAGTACCAATCAAGAATGTATATGCCATACAAAAATGAAGTTGCTTGACAATTTTCAACAAAGTGACAGCACGAGAAAATCTGTTCACTTATTGGATTCA